GCAAGGTGGGCCTGTTTGGCAGCCTTGTCAGCGAGTTCATTTCCTCTTATATTACAGTGGCCGGGAATCCACATGAAGGATATTTGTTTACCGGCGAAGGTGGCGGTGGAATGAGCATTATGAATTTTTCTTGCTAAGTCAGTAGGTTTCCACTGGTTCTGGATACTCATGAGAGAGGAAAGGGAGTCGCTAAGGATAATGATTTGTTTGGCTTCAACTTTGTTTGTTGCAAACTCAATAGCTTTTAGGATGGCTAGTGCTTCAGCTGTGTAAATGGAGCATTTGTTTGATAGTTTCCATTGGATATGTGTATCCCCGTGAATGATGGCCATTCCAACCCGATTTACCGCGACAGAGGCATCCGTGTATATAAGTGCGTGTTGCTGTTTAGATGAAAGTATTTCCATAAAGAGATTCCTGTATTGAGTGGAGCTGGTATATTTCTTGGGGAGTTGGTGTAAGTCCAGGATGATGTTCATCGAGATGAGCCACGGAGGGGATATGCTGATTTCAGTAGTCATTATGTTGTCTAAATCATATTTTTTATAATTGTTGAAAATGTGGTTAGGGGAGGAATGAAGACCTTGGGGGGAGCGGGCCATTCTGGCTGCGGTTTTGGATGTTAGTTCAGACCATCTTATGTCCAATGGTGGAATGCCGGCAATGCTGAGTATGCTACTGATCGGGCTTGATCTGAACGCACCAATGGAGAGTCGGATCCCTGCGTTATGTATTGATTCCAGTGTTCTAAGGTGAGGTGGTTTGGCGGCGGATATTAGAGAAGCTCCGTAATCTATTTTTGAAAGGATGAGTGTTTTGTGGATTTTCAGTAGCATTTGGGTTTGTGCTCCCCACGCTGTATGGGAAAGTGTTTTTATCAGATTAATTCTAGAAAGACATGATTTTCGTATGTGTTGTATGTATGGGCGCCATGAAGCTTTAGAATCGAGGATTACCCCAAGGATTTTGACTTGAGTTTGGTTCTTGATGGTGTGGTTACCCATTTTTATTGCTATGTTTTCCTTTTTTCTTTTCTGGTTGATGAGTATGAGGCTAGTTTTGTTCGACGCAAATCGAAAACCCGCTGTTTTTGACCAGGATTCAAGTTTGTTGGTCGAATCTTGTAGCATTTGTTGAATAGTGTTGCTGTTGGAGCTGCGACATAGGATATTGAAATCGTCAGCATATAAAAGAGGGATGTTGGGGTTGCGTATTCCTTCGGAGATATCATTGATGGCTATTAGGAATAGCGTCACTGAAATGGTGGAACCTTGTGGTACACCGTTCTCTTGTGTAAATATGTCGGATAGGGTGTTTGAGGTTTTTACCTGAAACGTCCGGGTGCCGAGGAAGTTATTTATGAAGTCTAACATGTTACCTTTAGTTAGAATTTTGTTGAGCTTGTGGATTATTCTGGGTCTCCAAGCTGAGTCATATGCCTTAGCAATGTCAAAACTGATCAGTCCTAAACTTTGATTATTCTTTAGAGCTGTTTGGATTTCATTTTTAATGTTTAAAATATTCTTAGTAGTGCTTCGATCGCGTCTGAAACCGTTTTGTTCGGGAGTGAGATAGTTAGATTTTTCCAGGTGCCACATTAGACGATTGTTAATCATTTTCTCGAGTAATTTACATAGCGTATTTAAAAGACATATGGGGCGGTAGCTATCAGGTAAAAACTTGTTTTTGTCGGGTTTTAAAATAGGGATGACGAGGCCATGTCTCCATGTGTTGGGGAAACAATTATTGTTCCAAATTGAATTGTATATTGATATTAAATGGGTCCTTGCGTTCGCTGGGAGGTTTTGTACAAATAGGTAGGGGATTCCGTCAGGGCCGGGGCTTTTGCTTTTGCAATTACGGAGAGCTTCCTCCAATTCAGTGATGAGTAGAGGTGAGTTGAGGTAGGTTTGAACATTATTATGGGGATCTACTGTGTTCGATGGGTTGTTATATATGTTTGCCTTGGATAAGAATTCCTGATCGTAGATGGATTTACTAGAATTCTCCTGAAACATTTGTCCCAGGGTGTTGGCGACTTCTTTAGGAGATGTTGTGATGTTAGAGTCCGTGAGGAAGTGGATATTGTTTCTGTTGGTACCTCTAATAGATTTGATTTTTTTCCATACAATTGAGGAGTCAGTTTGGTTATCGATGCTGGACACATATAGTTTCCACGATAAAGATTTGCTGCTCTTAACCAGATATCTGGTTAGGGCTCTTGTCCTTTTTAAACTGATGAAGTCCACTTGCGATCGGGAGATTTGGAATTTCTTGAGAGCTTTATTTTTGTTTTGGATAGCTTTTTTTATTTCTTCATTCCACCATGGGACGCGAGGTCTTGGGGAGCTGCTCTTAGACCTACCTATTGTGATTAAGGCTGCTTCTGTTATAATGTCAGTAAATTCTTTTACGTCTGCATCTATATTTTCTGGTAATGGGGTGGGAAGGCTTTCGGTTTTTTTTTCTATTAGAGATGAGAAAAGATCCCAATTGGCTTTCCTGATAGACCATCTAGATGGATAAACTAGGTGTGTGTCGTCGAGTGGGTGGTTGATGGATATTTGAATGGGGATGTGATCACTGCTATTGATGGTATAAGGTAGAGTGCACCACTCTAATTTATGCGCGAGAGAAGTGTTTGCGATGGAGAGGTCAATTGCGGATGATAGTTCGTTGATAGGGTTGATTCTTGTGGGTTGTCCGTTGTTGAGAAGCATTAGATTTTCGTTATTAAGTAATTCATCGATGATTTTCCCTCTGCGATCCGATTTGTAGGATCCCCAGGTCTCGCTGTGACTATTGAAATCGCCAACTATAATGAACGAATTGGGCAGTTGTTTTATGATACGTTCGATGTCATCTAGGCAGAAATCTCTGTTGTTTGGGATATATATGTTACATATGGTTAGTTTTGTATGAGGCAGATTGACTGAAACGGCTATTGCTTCGAAATCAGTGATTAAAGGGATTTCGACACTGGGGAAATCTTTGTTGATCATTATTGCGACGCCACCGCTGGCTCTGATACACGAGAAGCGATTGCGTTTATAGATATCGTAGTGCGTAAATTTGGGATTGCTTTTCTCGTTAAAATTGGTTTCTTGAATGCATATTATTGCAGGGTTCAGTTCTTTGGTTAGTATCTGGAGCTCTTCAAGTCTACTGAAGAACCCGTTGATGTTCCATTGAATTATATTTGTTTTCATTTGAATTGTATAGGAGGTTTGAAGGTGCTTGATGTGAAAAATGATAGATCTGAGGGAATCCTTTTATTCATTTGGTTGAATTAGTTGGGAGGAAGGGTCTTAAACAATAAGTTGGATAAAATTTTTATTTTGGACTTCATTGCACGATCTGTAATTAGAGGGTATATTTTTTCCGTCAAGTCGAGCATGTCCGAGATGTTGGAATTAATTTCGTCGCATAATGTGTATATATTAATATTAGGGTTTCTAATATTTTCCAAAAAGTATTTAAATTGGTCCAGGGTGATTGAAGTATTCTCACTGTCGCTGAAAAAGGCGACTGTAGGTTCAAGCGAGGTGTTGATTTTGTTGTCGTCGGTGGAAGTGAGAGAGTTGGATCTAGAGCGGCTGGTTTTGGCTTTTTTTTTTTCAGGTTGAATGAAAGGCATAGGGCTGCCAGGTGCTGTAGGGGAGGTGGGAGATTTAATTGTATTTGTATCCGATAGAGGTCTTTTGGCTTGAGTGGTGATTGGTGTTTTCATTGTTACATGGGATGTTTTAGTATTTGCCACGGGTTGGGATGAAATTATATCATTGTTTTCCTGATTCCAGTCCATGGTACTTTGTGGTTGGGTTGTGTCTATTGGAGGTAATTCAGGAAGCTGAATATCTTCGAGTAGTTCTGTAGTATGATCGTCAACGGTTGCAATTGGGCTGTTATGAGAAATTTGTTTTTTACATGACGCAGAAGTGTGACCCACCTCTTTGCATAGGAAACAAGTGATTCTGTCGTCAGTAAAAAAGATTCTGAATGAGGTTTGGTTAAAGTTAATAACTAACGACCCAGGTAGTTTGGTGATATCTTCTTGATTTATAAACATTTGGCGGCGGAAACTCAGGATATGTTCGTATCCCGCAATATTGATGCCGGCTTTTATATGGTTTAGTTGTGAGACTGGAGATATATTGATGTTTTTTAATGCGTTAAGAATTATTATGTTAGGTATGGATGGACACACATTTGATATCGTGATCTTTTTGGCTGGATTAATCAATCTGCGAATAGGGATAGTGTGTTCATTTATTGATATCGTTTTGGATTTTTCAAGAAGTGTATCGAGTACTTCTTTGCTTGAAAAAAAAATACAGAAACGATTGTTGGATATCCTTGAAGTGAATATTATGTCCCGAGGGGGGATCAGTTTTCCAATTGCAAGTATATATTCTATTTGTCTGATACCGTCTATAGAGTTGAAAACAATTGCTTGTTCCCTGGATGGAGTTTTTTCGTTTGCCGTAATCGTAGCAAAACTGGTAGGTGATTCTGAGCTGTGTGCTGGGTGGGGTTGGGCGTTGTCGTCGTTGAAAACGATAACGTTTTGGTTATCAGAATTGGAGTGGTTATCGTGTTGATTAGCTGCAGCGGTAATTAGGAGAGCAGCGGTGTTGGCAGAGGTAGGAGTGGAGCGTGGAAGTGGCGGTAATGTATCAATATTATCTACAGAGACATTTGAGTTTGACTTGTTCGAACTAGGATTTGTTTTTGAACTGTTTGATTTGGAGTAGATGGGAATTTGTTTAATATGGCTTGTGGGTATGTTTTTTACAGAAGGTGTTTTCGAGTGAGTGTTTGTGATATTTTTGTTTAATGTTTTTGTAAAAGGCGGTTTGCCTTTTGTATTTTTGTCGCTCATTACGTCGAATGTTCCGCGACAGATAATAATAAAATAATGATTATATTACCTGTACGCTGGTCACCGGCATAATTAACGGAGTGCTATCGGAAGCTATAAAAGCGCACGGTCGCGAAAGATGTACACGTGCTGTTCAGTCGGAGGTCGAACACGTACTGATTATTTTATTTAAAAATGTATTTTGTTATACCAATACAAATAGTTTATAAAATGGTTGTCTGTTATTACATTGATACCTAGGTAATTCATAATTATCTATATAATTTAATCTTATCTTTAAAAAAACCATAAATAATATTATTAGACTATGAAATTTTAATTTTAATTATTAAGTATATTATGTATTACATAATTAATAATACACACTATAATCGACATATACATATGTCATATACTATAAAAATGTGGTTTGAAATATTTAATACATTAATTTCGTTGAAATAATATTGATTGTTTTCTCGTCCGACTCAACTATATTATAATCTAGTTAATACAACAGCAAATCGATGTAATCCAATGTATTGTGCTTATACAAGTTGATGCCGCTTATTCTTTTAATTATAAAAAGCATCGATTACTAGGTAAAGAAGCTATAGAAACTATTTTTGGACAAAAGTGATTGATGGACATCCAACAATGGTTTCTTGCTCCAAATATAAATTTGATCGATATTAACCAAACACTATGACAGGCTTACATGAGAATAAAACTTTTACAAAACAATATATTATACAGTTAATATTTAAAAAAAATTTTCACAAAATCGATTATTATTTTTTTCATTTAATCTTAATCTAATTAACCTTGTCAATGAATAATAATAATGGTAAAAAAAATAATAGTTAAGTAGGTATCAGCGTTATAATTATACGGCAACATTATAAATGTACCTATAAGACATCGCCATAACTTTTGAAATGCTGGTTTTGTAGGTCTGTTAATACACAATTAAATTAGGTGTTTTATTTTTATTTTTAACAATGTTGAACTCTTTTCCGTTAAACTATAATATTGTAATCATTACAACTTAAGAGGATGCTACCCATGCATTTGTTGTTTCCGTTTTACACACGTACGACATAGCAAATTTTCATTCACTAGGTAGTTTTAATAGTGTTCTATTAGTTTTGATATTAGAGTGATTTGACCTATTATCAATATTTTAGATAATAACATTATCTGTGCTTAAGCTTTGGCTTTTATTCGATGTTTTAATTTCCATACGAGTTATGAGCATTTTTAATTTTTGATATTTCATATACCCCATATCTTGCTTGAAAATTAAAATTTCGAAAAATCGGCAACTCTTAAGCACAGATAATGTTCTTACCTAAAAGTTTTATAATAGGTCAATTCAATCTAGTATCAAAACTAACAGCACACTATTGAAACTAGTGAACGACAATTTGCTATGTCATGCGTGTGTAAGACGGAGACAACAAATGTATGGGTAGCGTCCTCTTAACGGAACGTTTAAAAAATATAAATAAAAATATGATACTTAAATACATATTTGAATCCAAAATATTAAAATAGGTACCGGTTTTAATTATCCATCGCTTCTGTAGTTTATTTTTATTTTTTATAATAATTATAAACAGATGTATTCTTATCCCTGTGGAAATCAAAATTATAATAATAATAGTGGGTAGAATATCAAATGAAATGCTCTGCATACCAACTAAAACACGTTTCAATTATAATCTATTATTTATTGGAAATTACATGGTAAATATTGTTGTAATATTCTGTAAAATAATCACGTATTGGTTAATATTTAAGGGCTTTCGTGTTGGAATTATGAAGAGAGTGGCGTTGATATAGTTACTGAATTCAATGCTATTGTTAATCAAAATATTGAAGGCGAAGAAGGCAAAAATGGTATATTTATGGCTTTGTTTAATATTTATAAAATATTAAAGGAGTACTTACTAATAAAACAATTTTAAATAATGGTTTTTCAAATATATTTTAGGTGAACAACTTTTTCAATATGCAAGTGATAATTTAGTGGCGGAAATTCTTATTAATCCTCAACACAGTACATTAGTGCAATGTGTAAGAAACTTATTAGCTAGTTTTACAAAGTATAGATGCATCATTCATGCGGGATATTCGTTTACAGAAAATGGATCATGGATCCTTCAGGTTAGTTAATTTTAATTAATTAAGCATCTACCATCTGATATAACATTTTGTAATCAATCATTATTTTAAAGAATATTGGATGTTATTAGATTATTTTCTATATAATATTTCAATACCGTTATGTGTATATAGGTAATATACAATACATGGTGTACGAAATACACAGATAATTATTATTTTGTATTAAATTGATAGAATATTGAATAACTTAAGATTAACAACTAGTTTTAACTGAATTATCCATTAAAATATGATTTTCTCAAAACTTGTTTCTATAATTATAGGACGGTTCGTTTTCTGTCACTGACTTCTTAGATGCATATAAAACAGCTGAAGCTCAGCGTACGATTAGACTACATGAAAATCAGATTCGTATTGAACTACATTGTTCTGCAGACGCTGATTGGAACCAAGTTAGCAGAGTTAAAGGCACACGTTTTTTGTTAAATCCACCGGAAAAAATAATTGACATTGAGTCAATAGAATCAATCGTAAGATGGCTATGTGATAAAATTGAAGTGGCTGAACTTGATATACTACTTGAAGGGTCGCAAGTTGTTGGAAATATCAGATTTAGTAGACCTACGCTTTATGTGTTTCCTGCTGGTCAAGGTGATTCCGCTTTATTTGGTATCAATGGATTCAACATGTTAATCGATGGAGGAGCGGGAAGAAATTCTTGTTTTTGGGGTTTTGCAAGACATTTGGATCGGTTAGATGCAGTACTATTAACAAGACTCAACAGTAGTAATTTGGAGGGAGTCGCATCATTTTTAAAACGAAAAACCATGTCTTCATTGTATCCACAAATAGGACATTTTTTCTGTAACTTCAAGGTAAGAAATATTAAATAATAAATCATTTTAAATTCACATAAGTATTATTCCCGTTTTCTTTAGTAATGTATGTAAAAATAATGAAAAATACATTCAAGTTGAATAAACTAATATGTGTAGAAAGGAAGGTGTCTAAAATGTTTTGTTTCAATAATTTCAATAAACCTCAATTCTGCGTCTGAACAGTCCAACTCTTTTTCATACAATAACTTGTTTAAAATAAATCTATTGTGTAATAGATAATTACTGTAAATCAAATATAAATTATAATCAATGATTAATAATACTAATATATTTAGATACAAACAGTTCTCGAATTGGGAGGGGGGTGCGCAGGGGGACGGAGCTGCCCTATAATTTTTATTTTTTTGCCGTACCCCTACTATTTTTTGTATGGTCTGTGCTGAATGATTGTGCCCTTGGAAGGCAATTTTTAAATACTTAGATTGAGCTCCTCTACATATTTTTTCCCAAATCAAGCACAGGATACAAAACTTCAAAATTCAATATCGTTTAAAAAATTATATTATTTAATAGTAAATCGTTTTTTTGAGTAGAAGTCCAGGGCTTCAAAATGTTATTTATAACGTGTTATAACGGAAAATAATGAATAAAAGAAAAAACTAAAAACGAAAATAATGTAATAAAATTAATCATAATTAATGATTAAAAATAAACAAGAAACGTATATGTAACATAAAAAAGCTGGGTAAGTGGATGTCGCTTTCCTAGAAAGTAGGTTACAAGTGGCCAAGTGGGTCACTTATAATTGATGGTATTAAATTTGAATTCAATGATATAATATCATTGTATACGAAAAATGTTTCTGAGCGGAGATGGTTTGCCAGAATGGATATCTTATATTATATTATTATTGTTATTACTTTTATTATTAAAACAGTAGCCGATAAGTTAAATAAATATTATAAAATTACAACAAAATAACTAAAATCGTTATTCCTGGTTATTTAATAATATGTAATTTTGTCCAAATTTTAACTTAAATTAACTATAAACAAAATCTGTGATTATGTCTATTTTTTGGTTACAAAATAACCTACTTACGCTGAGCCATGTTTTAAATTTTCAATCCTTAGCTATAAAAGTGGAACTTTTATACAATTTTAACTACAAATCATTTTTTAATTTTCAATTTGATAAATGTTATCAAAAATCTCAAAAATGTCTTGAAGCAGCTCAAAAACCGTCAAAACATTTTCAAAATTATATCAAGTATAGGAATTGATAAAATAAATTTATGATATAACTTTCAAGTGCTTACGGTTATTCCTTTTTGAATTACAATTTACAAAAAAAAAAGTTACTTGAGAAATTTTGTGAATATCCAATGTCGTAAAAATGTTAACTTCAAAGGCTCATAAAAATTTAATTTGACTTTCTTATAAACAATTTTTTTTTTTGATAAACCTAGATAGCCTTATAAGGAATCAAAATAATTTGCACATTTACGTGATTTTTACGCCTTTTGTCAAAAATCGAATTTTAAATGCTTATAAAAAAATTGTGATCATGTATTTTTAATATTTTTTATCTATCATTTTAACAATACATTATCAACACTGTATTAAATTTTAAAGGTTTTTAACCCAAAAAATAAAATGTTGTTGATATTTATAGAAAAAAAAACTAAACAAATTGGATATCGTTAACTCTTTACTCTATACGCTCTGTACGACACTTCAACTGTACATACTACTGAACTGTTCTTCCGTATTCGTTACAGCGTTATATATTGTTTAAATTTATATTTTTATTTATAGGTTATACATTTTTATATCAAACTGAAACATTGGTCACCCGATTGTGTTAAAAATTCATTCTTATTTTTTTTTTTAATAATAACTTTTATTTATTTTAAATACTAAAATGTATTTATTATTTCTAAAAATTAATTTTTTATAATATTGCCTAAATTGTGAAATAGTTACACTTAATTACAAATACCTGTCACTAAATAGAAGCTATTAATATGTTATTTTTTTTATATAGGACTTTATTGATGAAAATAAAATAAAAAAAAGTCAAATAATAAGGGTTAAAACCGGTATTAACCGAAACCGAAACCGAACCCGAAATTTGATTCTTTTAAAAACCAAAACCGAAATTTTGGGTTTTCGAGAACTGAAACCTAAACCCAAACCGATAAAATCATTAAGTTTCCAGTCCCTGAGTATAATATTAGTTTATTTCTGTAATTCAAATTTCAATAAAATACAGAACTGCGAGCACACTGTTGTGTCTGCGAGTGTGGTTTGGTGTACCTACTAAATACTTATATAAAATTAACATTATTATTCCGTTTCAAGTTGTATTATTGTTATAAATATTTTTTTGAAATAAAGTCTATTATTTTATCTTTCATTCTTGCCAAAATATTTAAGTAGTATTGACACTTAAACTAACATTATTTTGAAAGTTTTAGCTACTTACTAAAAACCCTAGGATGATTATAAATAACCTATCCTGGACAACAAATGTATACTAATTTGATAGTTCTTACATCACAGTGTCAGTGTGGTTAATTACCAGCCATCTTTACTGAAAAGAACAATATAATTTATATAAAAAAATAAATAAACGTTAAACAGAAAACAAAAAATTAAAATAACGTTTGAAAATATAAATACGATAAATGGAAGAAATCAAATTTGAAACTTTGAAAGTACAATAACGAAAAACATTCAAAATGTACAACACGTTTAAATATCCAAAAATGTAAAAAAGATATATTGTTTTTTAAATTTATGCCCTGGACTTAGAACCTTTGAAGAACTTCGAATAACTATGTAAAGATTTGTATCTAGATCACCTATATATTTTTCAATCAAATACAATTACTTAGAACATAAAAATATAAAATAACGTTTTCTTTCGTATCATATTGAGTATTATAAAAATAAATATTCACATTAGTATTTAATATTTAAAATTTATTTTTATTTTCAGACAAGAAAACAAATATCATCTCCTAACATAGATGCTAAACAAGATGTTCTTTCAATTAGTTTAATAGATACAGCACAAAGCATTATAACTGATCTTAAACAATTGCAACTTCGTCCGCATTTATGTTATCGAAATATAAATTTAGAGCCAATTAATCTATATCATAAAGTTGGTCATGGAAAATTAGATATGTATGTATTAAATCCTTCCAAAGATAGTAAAGAGGTAAAAGACTTTTTGACAAAATGGAATGAAGGTGATCAAAAATTATTTAATCCTACCAAAGATTTACAGTTTCCGCTACCTAACATTATATCCGTTTGTACCCTACTAGTATGGCAACCAGCAAATCCAAACACTACAATCACTAGAATTTTGTTCCCAGGAAGTAGTCCTCAAAATAAGATATTTGAATCTTTAGAAAGAGTCAGACATCTCGATTTTTTGAAGCATCCTTCATGTTCTATTAAATCAATGAGTTCATCTACATCAGTAACAGTAAAATCTCAGACAACTAAGAAGACTGTTCTTGAAAAAATGATTCCAGGTGAAACTAAAACCGTTAAGACTATGGAAAATTTAGAAGTATCAACATCAGCCTCAAATGCTGTTATTCAAACAGCTATAATACCAACAGTACCCAAAGAAGGAACTCCAAAGCCAAAGTTCCCTGTTGAAACAGAAAAACCAAAACAAAGTATAAAGTTAGTTATGAAAGAAACAGCAAATGCAAAACCAAAAATTGAACATAAATATAGTTCAATTAGCGCAAGAGTAAATTCCAACAAGATTGCCCAAAAAAGTTCAACTACCAAAAAATCGTTGAAATTATCATCTAAATCTCCTCCTACTGATAAATCATCACCCACTACTCCAATCGAAAATCAAGAAAAAGCGCCTAAACCAATTAAACAAGTTATTAAGCCAAAATCAACATCTACAACTACAAAATCTCCTTCAAGCACTCCTACTAAAAGTAAGAAGGAGGAAGCCAATCGAAAAGTTTTGGTTTCTTCGAGAACAAATTCAGGTCTAAAGCGAACTCCAATTACTAAAAAAGAAACAAAACCAGCTAATCCGAAAATCACTGAAACTTCTTTAAAAAAAGACTCAAATATAGTTTATAAATCAAGTTTGATTAGTTGTAACAAAGATAAAAGTGGTGAAGAAGAAGATATTTTGATTGTAGAGAAAGTAGCAATTACACCAGAAAAACTATTGACTCCTGATGGAAAAAAAATTATCGCTAATGAATTGGATGGAATTTTAACAACAGCCAAAGATATTGTAACAAAAGAAAAATTGTCAGACTCTGGAGCTACTACAGCGCCCACTATGCCAGAAGATGAAAAAATTAATGAATCAAAAAAAGAAATTGAAGTTAACGAATCAGACAAAAAAGTCGAAGAATTTAAAAAAGCCAAAGATGCATTAAAAACACCAGATGAAGTGGCCGATTTACCATTCCACGAAGAAGCAGATGAACAAAAACCAAAAGTTGCAGAAAAAGAAATTGAGTCAGAGATTGAAACTCAAGAAATTGTACAAGTAGAAAATGCCGAATATGTACTGGTATCATTAGATTCCTCTCCAGAAGTATTAAAAAGACAAGTGTTAGACACCGTAGGCTTATTGGATACCGAACTTGACGAAGATTCTGATAAAGAAGATGAATACGTAGAAACAAAACAAAGTACAATTCTTCCTGATATTGATGAAAAAACTAAATTAATAGAACATTTACTAGAATCATCCAAGGATTTATGTGAAATAACAGAAAAAATTGATGAGTTAAAAAAACAAAATGAACATGAGATCACCAATCACCAAATTCATGATCATTTACAAGACTTCAATCACGATCATACCAAAACATCAAATTGTACGCAATTAAATAAACAAGAAAACTCCACACAAATTCAAGAAGAAGCAAAAATTGAATTACAAGAAAAAGAATGTATTGATGAAAAACGTTTGACCATTGATAATGAGAATGATAAAGATATACATGGAAGTAGTCATGTAGAAGAATGTAATGCAGAAAATGGAGACAACACTCAAGATTTAAAACAAATTACGACAACCCAAGGACCAGATACAGATTTGGTAAACGTTGCAAATATTACAATGGATAAAAAAGATTCAAAAGCATCTAGCAAAGCTGGCTCAATTTGCGATGAACCACTGACATTAACTAGAAGTAGATCTGGTTCTAAAACCGAAGAACCAGAAAGAAATACAGAAAACTCCACTGATAAGCAAAGATCAAAAGCATCCAGTAAAGCCGGTTCCATTTGTGACGAACCATTAAAATCTCCAGGACCAGATATTAGTACTGACAAAATTAGATCAAGTTCAATTTGTCAAGAACAAGACAAAACGAATAATGTAGAAGAGAAACAAGAGTCAAAAGCATCTAGTAAAGCTGGCTCAGTTTGTGATGAACCAGTTAAATCTCCAATTCATGAAACAAACACATCAGCTAATGTGGTTCCAAGTAGATCTGGTTCAATAACAGAAGAACCAGAAAATACTAATGTTACTGATATGCAAAGATCAAAGACATCCAGTACAGCCGGTTCCATTTGTGACGAAACATTAAAATCTCCAGGACCAGATATTAGTACTGACAAAATTAGATCAAGTTCAATTTGTCAAGAACAAGACAAAACGAATAATGCAGAAGCGAAACAAGAGTCAAAAGCATCTAGTAAAGCTGGCTCAGTTTGTGATGAACCAGTTAAATCTCCAGTTCATGAAACAAACACATCAGCTAATGTGGTTCCAAGTAGATCTGGTTCAATAACAGAAGAACCAGAAAATACTAATGTTACTGATATGCAAAGATCAAAGACATCCAGTACAGCCGGTTCCATTTGTGACGAAACATTAAAATCTCCAGGACCAGATATTAGTACTGACAAAATTAGATCAAGTTCAATTTGTCAAGAACAAGACAAAACGAATAATGCAGAAGAGAAACAAGAGTCAAAAGCATCTAGTAAAGCTGGCTCAGTTTGTGATGAACCAGTTAAATCTCCAGTTCATGAAACAAACACATCAGCTAATGTGGTTCCAAGTAGATCTGGTTCAATAACAGAAGAACCAGAAAATACTAATGTTACTGATATGCAAAAATCTAAGGCATCTAGTAAAGGTAGCTCAATTTGTGATGAGCTAGTTCGCTCTCCAGTTCATGAAACAATCACGACAGCTAAATGTGTTTCAAGTAGATCTGGTTCAATAACAAAAGAACTAGAAATAACAGAAGAAATCACAATCAATAAACAAGGATCAAAAGCATCCAGTAAAGTCCATTCAGTTGTTGAAGAACTTACAATTTCTCCAGGGCCAGAAATTAACACTGATAAAACTGAAACAACAGATTTAACAAGTTTAGTTTCTCAAGCGCTCGATGTAGCAAATGTTTCTGATACAGACAAACAAGAATCCAAAGCATCTAGTAAAGCTAGCTCGGTGTGTGATGAACCCATTAAATCTCCAATTCATGAAACAATTACATCAGCTAATGCAGTTTCAAGTAGATCTGGTTCAATAACAGAAGAACAAGAAAATATTCAAAAAAATGTTACTGATATGCAAAGATCCAAAGCATCTAGTAAGGCTAGATCTGTTTGTGAAGAACCCATTAAATCTCCAGTTCATGAAATAGTTAATGCAATAACCAGTATAACAAGTTCTATAACACATGACCCGGAAAATACAACTAAGAACACAACTGGTTCCAAACCATCTAGTAAAGCTAGCTCAGTGTGTGATGAACCGGTTAAGTCTCCAGTTCATGAAACAATTACATCTAAAAATTCAGTTCCTTGCAGGTCTAGCTCAATTTGTGATGAGCCTGTTAAATCTCCAATTCAAGAAATAATTACATCAGTTAATGCAGTTCCAAGTAGATCTGGTTCAATAACAGAAGAACCAGAAAAGGTTCCTGATTTGCAAAAATCAAAGTCATCTAGTAAATCTAGCTCAATTTGTGATGAAACTATTAAATCTCCAGTTCATGAAATAGTCAACGCAATAACCTGCAGTAGATCAAATTCTTTAACACATGAACTAGAAAACGCTACAAATGACGTAACGGGTTCCAAAGCTTCTAGTAAAGCTGGCTCTGTTTGTGATGAACCCATTAAATCTCCAATTCATGAAACAATTACATCAGCTAATGTAATTCCAAGCAGATCTGGTTCAATGACAGAACCAGAAAACGCTCCAGAAAATGTTTCTGATTTGCAAAAATCAAAGACATCTAGTAAAGGTAGCTCAATTTGTGATGAAACTGTTAAATCTCCAGTTCATGAAATAGTCAACGCAATAACCAGTAGATCAAATTCATTAACACATGAACTAGAAAACGCTACAAATGACGTAACGGGTTCCAAAGCATCTAGTAAGGCTAGCTCTGTTTGCGAAAAACCCATTAAATCTCCAGTTCATGAAATAGTTAATGCAATAACCAGTATCACAAGTTCTTTAACACATGACCCAGAAAATACAACTAAGAACGCAACTGGTTCCAAAGCATCTAGTAAAGCTAGCTCGGTGTGTGATGAACCCATTAAATCTCCAATTAATGAAACAATTACATCAGCTAATGCAGTTCCAAGTAGATCTGGTTCAATAACAGAAGAACAAGAAAATACTACAGAAAATGTTACTGATATCCAAAGATCTAAAGCATCTAGTAAGGCTAGCTCTGTTTGTGAAGAACCCATTAAATCTCCAGTTCATGAAATAGTTAATGCAATAACCAGTATAACAAGTTCTATAACACATGACCCGGAAAATACAACTAAGAACGTAACTGGTTCCAAAGCATCTAGTAAAGCTAGCTCGGTGTGTGATGAACCGGTTAAATCTCCAGTTCATGAAACAATTACATCTGAAATTTCAGTTTCTTGCAGATCTGGTTCTATAACAGAAGAACCAGAAAATATTACTGATGTACAAAGATCCAAGGCATCTAGTAAAGCTAGCTCAATTTGTGATGAGCCTGTTAAATCTCCAGTTCATGAAACGATTGCAAAAGGAAATGCTGTTATAAGTATGCCGTTATCTGATTCAATAACAGATAAATCAGAAAGCATTCTACACAATGTCACTGATATGCAAATATCCAAAGTATCTAGTAAGCCTAGCTCGATTTGCGATGAACCGGTTAAATCTCCAGTTCATGAAACAATTACATCTGAAAATTCAGTTTCTTTCAGATCTGGTTCTCTAACAGAAGAACCAGAAAATGTTACTGATATACAAAGATCCAAGACATCTAGTAAAGCTAGCTCAATTTGTGATGAGCCTGTTAAATCTCCAGTTCACGAAACGATTGCAATAGCAAATGCCCTTATAAGTATGCCGTTATCTGAGTCTGTAACAGAAAAACCAGAAAGTATTCCAGATAATGTCACTAATATTCAAAAATGCAATGTATCTACTACAGCTAGCTCTGTTTGCGATAAACCCGTTAAACATCCAAGTCATGAAATAGTTAATGAAATAAATAATATATCAAGTACTTTAACACACGAAATAGAAAATACTACAAAAAATGCAACTGGTTCCAAAGCATCAAGTAAAGCTAGCTCTGTTTGTGATGAACCCATTAAATCTCCAATTCATGAAACAATTACATCAGCTAATGCAGTTTCAAGTAGATCTGGTTCAATAACAGAAGAACCAGAAAATACTCCAGAAAATGTTCCTGATATACAAAAATCCAAGACATCTAGTAAAGCTAGCTCAATTTGCGATGAGCCTGTGAAATCTCCAGTTGACGAAACGATTGCATCAGCTAATTCCATTAGAAGTAGATCTGGTTCTGTAACAGAAAAACCAGATAGTATTCCAGATAATGTCACTGATATTCAAAGATCCAAAGCTTCTAGTAAGGCTAGCTCTATCTGTGATGAGCCCGTTAAATCTCCAGTTCATGAAATAGTTAATGTAATAACTAGCATATCAAGTACTTTAACACACGAAATAGAAAATACTACAAAAAACGCAACTAGTTCCAAAGCGTCTAGTAGAGCTAGCTCAGTGTGTGAAGAACCCGTCAAATCTCCAGTTCATGAATTAATTACATCTCCAAATGCAATCGTGAGTAGATCTAGTTCTATTACCGATAAACTAGAAATTGTTCCAGATAATGTCACTGATATACAAAAATCCAAGACATCTAGTAAAGCTAGCTCAATTTGTGATGAGCCTGCGACATCTTCAGTTGACGAAACGATTGCTTCAGCTAATTCCGTTATAAATAGATCTGGTTCTGTAACAGAAAAACCAGAAAGTATTCTAGATCATGTCACTAATATGCAAAGGTCTGGTTCAATAACAGAAGAACAAGAAAATACTCCAGAAAATGTTACTGATATGCAAAAATCCAAGTCATCTAGTAAAGCTAACTCTGTTTGTGATGAACCCGTTAAATCTCCAATTCATGAAACAATTACATCAGTTAATGCAGTTCCAAGTAGATCTGGTTCGATAACAGAAAACCCAGAAAATACTCCAGAACATGTTCCTGATATACAAAAATCCAAGACATCTAGTAAGGCTAGCTCTGTTTGTGATGAACCCGTTAAATCTCCAGTTCATGAAATAGTTAATGTAATAACTAGAATATCAAGTACTTTAACACATGAAATAGAAAATACTACAAAAAACGCAACTGGTTCCAAAGCGTCTAGTAGAGCTAGCTCAGTGTGTGAAGAACCCGTCAAATCTCCAGTTCATGAATTAATTACATCTCCAAATGCAATCGTGAGTAGATCTAGTTCTATTACCGATAAACTAGAAATTGTTCCAGATAATGTCACTGATATGCAAAAATCGAAAACATGTAGTAAAGCTAGCTCAATTTGTGATGAGTCAGTTAAATCTCCAGTTTATGAAACGGTTAATGCAATAACCAGCATATCAAGTTCTGTAACACATGAACCAGAAAATACCACCAAAAATGGAATTGATTCGAAAGCATCTAGTAGAGCTAGCTCAGTGTGTGATGAACCCGTAAAATCTCCAGTTCGTGAAACAACAACGTTGATAAATTCTATCACAAGTAGTTCCAATACTATATCCCAAGAGTCAAAAAATATTCCAGAGAACGAAATTGAAAAGCAAGGATCAAAAGCATCTAGTAAATCAGGTTCTGTTTGTGATGAACTAGTAAAATCTCCTCTTTGTGAAAACAAAAAATCAGAAAATACCATTACAAATTTATCCAGTTCTATAACACAAGAACCAGAAATTGATAGTCATTGTTCAAAAGCTTCAAGTAAAGCCAATTCTATTGGTGAAGAACCATTAAAATCGTCAGAACTAGCAATAATCAGCACTAATGGAAGTGAGTCAAAAAGTAGATCGAGTTCAGTTAATCTGGAACAAGATATTACGCATGTTTCTATTAACGATAAACAAGAAAGTGAAAAAAGTTCAGTTGTTCAAGAAACAGAATTTCCACAAATAATTGGCATGGATAAACATGATGTTGAATCATGCAGTAGAAAAGATTCGTTTTTCCAGGACAAGAATAATTCCTCAACATTTTCATCAAGTAGTACAAGTTCAATTTGTCAAGAAATAGATACTCAATCTTCAAAACTTTCCAGTAGAAAAAGTTCTGTTGTTGATGAATCAATTAGTAACCCTTCAAAATTACATATTGGGGAAAAGAGTTCTAGTCTTCAAGAATCAAATGTTTATGAACACAATATTGATAATAATACTAAAACATTCAACAAATCTGGATCCTTGTGTGATGAAATGCTAAATCTGCCATTTAACAAGGTAACGGAAAACATTATTTCAAATGAAGCATATGAAAAAGTAGTTTCTCCAGAAACTACTGTTGGAAATACAGAATCTAAAATGGTCAATGCAATTGAATCGATGTGCGAAGAATCTATTAAATCTGATAATGATGAAATTTGTACAAAAGAACATTTAGTTTCAAGTACCTCAAGTTTGATTCTCCATGAAACAGAAGAAGAAAAATGTCAACTACCAAGAAAGAGTTCTGTGTTGGAAGAACCACAGAATTCACTAACTGAGGATAATAATACTATTTTGTCACCTTCTGACTGCAATAAGTCAAATATTATTGAAAGAAGAGCGGAGGAATCAAAATCTTTTGGTAGAATAGGTTCTTTGTGTGAAGAAATTGCGAAATTTTTAACTGATAACGATAATAAAATATCAACTAATATTACATCTGAATCGCCATGTAGCTTAATTGAATCTATTCCTTTAAAAAGTAATATAGACGAATTAAAAGTCGAAACTGAAACTTTATTGCAACTTAATAAAAACACTGATACTTTGAACAAGATTGAAAAATCTCTACAACTTGATGATAAAGTTAAAGTTGATGAAAAACATGATAATATAAATGAGAAAAATACAGATCATAGTCTTCCTGTTAAAAATATCACTGAATCTAATAATAAGCCCCCAAATATTTCAACATTATTGATTGAAGAAAATAATAAGACTGGTATAATGAATGTTGCTCAAATGGTAGGGAAAAATATCCTTGACGAATCTCTTACTAAACATACCGTGATAACTGATAATGAATCTAAGAGTTTAAAAACCTTCACTCCAATCGCTAATGTTACTTCAGAAGAATGTATTAGTAAATTATCAAACGTATTAATTGAAGATATAGTGAAAACATCTGATGATAAAAATATCATATGTGATTCATCAATAACAGACATTTGTATGAATCAACCATTAGGTGTTACTTTGAATAGCGAAGACTTGGGTGTTACTAAAGATATAGTCATGCAATTAAAAAGAGATGTACACGAAGCATTGCATCAATGTAGTAGTGATGACGAGCGACCATTTACTCCACAGAGTGAGTCTAGCATGTCTAGATCGGCAATGAATATTGATGAGGACGACGATGATAACGAAGACAATAAAATTGAAACTGATGATGATATGCCCGGCTCTCCTATGTCTACTAGACCATCACCCGTACAAATGCAACTCGATAATCGACATGTAGAAATTAACATGGATTTTAATAAAGCTTTGCAGGAACATAGGATTACGAGGGGTGAAGATTTGACAGCTACTGAAGCAAATGGTAACCATGTTACAGAAATCAAGACAACTGAACATGATAATATTAACCAAAACCAAGGTACGTCATCCGACACGGTTCAGAGTTGGGGTAAACCATTAGGTCTACCACCCGTACAAAGCATTAATAATAACGGTTTTGATCCAATTCGTGAGTGGGGGAAACCATTAGGTCTTCCATCTCCAACACAGCCGATCCTTGAACTCACTGAACCTCAAAATATGAGCGGCAAGACAACACCCAAGAAGAACGTAAAAAAGATTATAGACAACAAACCAATAATTAATGTCATGGGTAAGAATATAACAATAATTATATTTTTCAAAATGCTGTGCTCTTTATGTAATTTACAGTACTTTGAAACGGGTTAAGTAGAAAAAGACAAAAAATGATTGCGACTGACTGTGTCCTTTATGCATTTCTAAACCATTCATCTGATTTCGATGAAATTTGGTACAGAGATAGATTCGACCTCGGGGAAGAAGGTAGGCTACATTTTGTCTCGAAAAAATTAAATAAGAGGTCCAACCCGGGGAAGTTTTCAAACAGAGACTATAATAACGACCATTTATAAACAAAAAATAATAATCTCAAAATCCCTGTCTGAAAACTCCCCCGGCTTATACCTCTTATTTACCTTCTTCGCGACAACATGTATCCTATTCTCTTTCCCGAGGTTTAATCTATCTCTGTACCAAATTTCATCAGATTAACGGTTTAGGAATGCATAAAGGACGCAGTCAGTTTTAATATTTTGGGTCGTTTATAATATATCTTTGTATGTAGATAGATTATTATTGCTTGTTTATAAATGGTTGCTATTGGTTTTATTTAGTTTTAATAATAATAATTATTATTAATACGAAAAGCCAGTGTATTTTAGTACCTACAGAATGTATTGACTATTGAGTTCGAACCACGGTTTCGGTAGACCAATATTTTACATTTTTTGATACCTTTGAGTTAACTTATATACTGACTTACGCATAATGCGGGGTCCCAGAGCTACCTCAGAAAAGATTGCCTACCTAATAATATACTGCTCGCATAATGACAAAAACCTAGCAGTAGCAACGCATTGCCGTATCTGCTAGTAATATTATAATATTATGTTAATTTTTCAGACAAAGACGCGCAAAATCGAATCCGACGATCGGAATCACCAAGTAAACTCAGAAGTCGATCATCAAGTCGAATGTCCAGAATTAATCCCATTTACCTGGATCTTATTTATGTGCCACATCATGGAAACTCAAAATATGTGTCTGCTGACTTCTTTAAGCGCGTACGAGCTAGAAACTACGTTTTTAGCGGTACCGATCCTAGTAAAGAAGTCTTAAATGCTTTAATCGAAGGAAAACAAGCTTGGGAGGATCAAGATTTAGGTGAGAATAATAAAGTTTATAATCATTTGTTCGCTAATATAATAAAATATATTATAATAGAGGTCACCATAATACCAACTTACGATACCGATACACTGGGTCAGTGGGTGGCAGAAAATGAGGAATTGCTGACCAAGTTGAAGATCGATTTAAGTCCTAGCGCCAGCCGATGCACGATAAAACTACAAGATCATAACACCAGCTGCTCCGCGTATAGACTAGAATTTTAATTAAATTATTATATATAGATATTAATGCAAGTATTGACATAGTCTTCGTCCATCATATGATTAGTAATATATTGTTAAGTGTGATAACTGATAAAACTGTCTGTCCATTTTACTTCTTAATGAAATTTATGGATGCTTTATATTATTATTAGTGTAAACAAGTACAACAAGTAAATTCGCTTCCGTTCTGAATTTTTTTTTGGCAGAGCGTGCGAATAAACAATGCACACTAAATTACAAGACTGGACAATCCATCCTGGGTAGTTCTACTTTTTTTCTTTCTATTGCATATGAAAAAATTATAATATAATGAATTATAGCTACTTTTTATTCATTCACATTTTTTTTAGTACCAAAATCGGACGCTTCTATTTCACTTTAACCAACTTTATTATTGTTCAATAATTACTTTTCTTCATTCTTCTTAAAATATTTACAGTAAGATACGCAATGCATATGCTTTAAAAGTTTTTACTTAAATATATGTATTGTGTAAAGTAAAAGACACTTAATGAAACTAGCAGATATTTTATCATAAATAGTTTATACAAATTCGCTTTGGGAATTGGAATTTAAACATGTCGAAAACGTTATGTGATGAACATTTTTAATAATACATTTTTACGAACTGACTGTACGACAGGGTAATCGGAGAGACCGTTTAAAATCGGATATCAAAATTGCTGAATAACCTCTATACCTAATAATATGTTTTAGTTATTTAATTTTTAATCCCCCAAACATTTGTTTGACTGTTCGACATTGGACAAATTATGGTAGGTACCTAATATTTTTAAGAATCCTTTATTAATACTGATCCAAACATGTTAATATTTTACTAAGCACCTGGTATAGGTACCTAGGTATTCATCATAAATATTTTATTCCGAATTATTGTTATTATAGGCTAAACCGACTAATACGTTAGTCTGTTGTCATCATCTATCAGTATCTTCCAATTTATTAGACTAGTTTGAAAAATATATTAATTGAAATGCTTATTTATGTTTGTCAGAATTAATTTTATTATTATTTCACATTATATTTGATTATAGATCATCGTGGAAAATGTGATATTTGTCCATGCGTATATACATAAGAATAATATTAATAGGTAGGTACTGCGTTTTGCATTTCGATTTCTTCGGGGGTAAAGATGGATAATAATTTAATGGCGCACCTTAATGAAAAACCTATTAACGACAATAATAATAAATTATAGTTGAGAAACCACTATAACCAGTGATAGACATTAGTTTGATTACTGTTCATCGAGCTTATGATTTATTTTTGGGTACTATCGTAAATTAGAATCGCTATGTATAATAATAATAATAATAATATGTACAACTTACTATAACGCGTCAAAGTGAATAATTTCTGTCCAAAACACTCCTACTTCGTTACGTCCAATTTCTCCATCCTCTCTTCCACACACAGTAACTATATTAATTAAACATAATTTTACCCCTATTTTATTTTATTTATTACCTCATTGTTAACATTATCAGTGATTATGCGTTATGACATATTATAACTTATGAATATTAAATGTGGTTTGTATGAATCTATGTATTTCACTGTACGGCGTAGTGTGTACGCGCGCTTAAGTGAATTAAACACTAGAAAATTATAATATCTTTATTCAAACTAGATCTTATTCAAAAGCATTGTCTACTTATATGTGTGGCTTTGTGTTTCTTAAATTATAAAAAGACATAACTTTACAAGTACCTATATAATATTTATTATCCACATTCATAGCTCGTCGACCTACCTACTTCAAAGGCTTGGTATGATTATTATTTAGGATTCGTGAAAGCTTTTTACGAGTCATTTTTTAAATGGTGCTATGTTCCGTCAAGGATAAAGTTACTCTGATGACTTAAGAAAAAACGTGATTTATGTATTTTAGTTTTTAAAAATTTTAGTATCATTATACATTAATCTTTTATACGGATAGTTAATTGTATTGAATAATCATAACAATATAATATTAATTCATTGAAGTGTGTTTTACAGATGAACTCATTGCATTAGATTTATTAATGTGTAGCTTAAGTTTATAGATTATTTTTTAATTGTATTTTATATTTTTATCTTTAGTGAATTTAAAAAAAAAGTTATTATTATTTAAAAAATTACGCAGTCTGCACGATCTTCTAACATAATACCTATACGAATCGATTTTTGCATTTGCATATTAAAAACAATATTTTGTTGTGTTATTAATAAGTCTAATTTATCTGTTATTACATATATTATATACCTACCGTATATTACTTAGCTATTTACAAGTTTATATAAATGTTATCTAAGCGTTAATACAAATGGAGTACACAATTTTAAGAAAATACTTGATTACATTTTGCAAGTAGATAAATAAATAGCTTGTGATAATACAGAATTTTGTTTTAAATTTTAATACATATTGTTTTATTTCTTTAATTTTACATTTTTTTCTTATATAATATTATGTGAAATTTATCAATGCTATTAAAAGAAAATGCTTATGTTGTTCTTACATCGGCCTTACAGATTTTTTCTTTTTTTTACTAATTTATTATTATATACCATTTGTACTATCATTATTAATATATTATTATTATTATTAATTTTATTCGTGTTTAAATATAAATTACTTAACCTTCCAGCTCTTAAAATACGCAAATGATAATATTGTATAAGGGTAGTTTGTTAGAATCTGTAATTTGATAATTAAATGTTTGATTTTAGAACCAAATTGATTTTTTTTTTATTTCTGAAAGTATTGTAAGAAAATAATTATTCTTACTCAATGTATCTCAATAATAAGTTTGTTTGTAACAGCCAACAGATACTTTAGGGGCGTAGACCGTTTGGGCGAATCGACCCAAATTATAGGCCGTTTGGGCGAATAGATGTATACCGTTTGGGCGAGTGTTTATTCAACTAAAGGTATAATAATACCTTATAATACCTTATTATAATAATTATATTATTATTATAGTGATATAAAGTAAAAAAATAATAATTAAAACAACACGTCACATAGGTAATATTATTAAAATAATGTAAAAAATTATTCATATATTGCCATATTGGTATAGATAGTTATATTATCATAAATTATAGTGATCTAGAGTAAAAAAATAATTATTACAATAACACGTCATATAGGTAATATTATAATATTTTTAAATTGGTTTATAATATATTGGTTTGTATACCATTTTAATTTTTAATACATTTTATAGTAATCTATTGGCCTGGTATTTTAAACCTAAGCATTTTATGTATTGTAATTGGTCAATATCTCCTCTCATATATTTATTTCATGTTTCTTGCACGAACTGTTTTTTTTCTGTGATTTCTTTTCGTTGAACGTTTGGGACTTTTTTTGAAATGGAATTGATTTTAATTGTATTTTCAGTTTGGATTTCTAATAGTACTGCGATGACTTGGTGAATATGAAGGTGTGTTGTATAAAACTGACTATTATAGTGGGAATGGAATGACTCTGGTCCATTTGTGGTTCTGGGATGGTCAAATATTGGTGATGACGCCCACAAATGAGGAGGGAATTCTGAGTTTTCGTCTATGTATGTATACAAGACATAATCTGCAAAATGTACACGTTCATTTTCGGTTGGTATAATTAATAACAACTCAGTAAATGCGTCTCCTACTTCAACTGGTGGCAAAAATGATAAACCGAAAAAACATTTGAGCCGCAATCCGACTTCAGAATCTTTAATCAAATATGCTTTCGATAAATTTTTATGTTTTACAATTTGTCTATACCAACTTTGGCCTAATTGAAAAGTACATGTGATAACTGACAGTTAGGAAATGTTTGAGTTGTAGCTAAATGTGCAGCTTTTTCAAAGTCAGAATAAAAAAATTTTACTTGAAGAGTTTCACCAATTAGTTCATTACATAACTTGCATATTTCAAACCACATAGTCAAATAATTGTTTTTTGATTTTGATGTTAAAAATACATAAGCTACTGGTATATAATAATTGTAAGTATATACATGTAATGTATAAAGTTGACAGAAAAACTTAGGACAATACGAAAATGTTCAGTCTCCAAAGACATTTTTAGATTTACATAGGAGTCGTGAGTTGTCCTACAATTGATAACAATTGATTTTTGTTCATTATAATGGTAAAATATGTTTAATTCTTAAATCCATATTTAATAATATAAATATAGATATTGATTATTAACTTTAATATATAAATTTTTAGTTTTTACACTTTTCAACACTTTTAACAACTTTTACGACGTACCACATAAAGTTTATTATATAACACACAACATATCACTTAGGACACTGTACCGTTATTACTTATTATTTAGGTATACAAATTGTACAGCATATCTGAATCGTACCTAATCATGTTTTTCAATTATAGCGATTAATAATGATTAGCAACGACATTATCTGTATCTAAGTTTTTACCCTGATCAGGTAAAAATAATTCTACTCGCCCAAACGGTACATATGAATATATGATACTGGCCCAAACGGACTATTAATTTATAGGTAAAAATTATTACCTTCGCCCAAACGACCACAGCCCTACTTTAGTACTTATAATATTTAACTTAAATTTGTGTCATGCTAGAAGCACTTAGTGTGCGTTATGCGACTTTACTGCCCATGATACAAATGATCATACACATATTATAATAGGTATTAGGTAGGTAGGTAAAGATTAAAGGGAAAAATAAATTCCAAATCACATTTATTGACATTTTATTGTATAAAACAATTGTTTTTAAAGTATTCATAGATAGTTTTTTCTTTATCAACAGGCTGATGAATTTTAATTGAAAAGATTCTTGGGCGATAGGATTACAATTAATTATAAATATCTCTGCAATAAATCTTAATTATATTTTTTTATTTATAAAGAATATTTACCATCTATGTTAGAATAGCATAGTAAGCAAATTTGATAATTTACGTACATTTTAACTTTTAGTAATATAAAAAGGGAGGCCAACCGGCAACCAGTGATGGAACCCAACGTGATATATTATTTTAGGTTAGTAAATCTCTGCAATATTTTCTCTTGAGCCGATGGGTGGGATTTATGGGTTGAGTATTAGACGAGATTTGTGATACTAATGGGTTAGTATGGGATAGTAGCTTGGAATAAAAAGGTTTGTAATGTTTAGTGGCTAATTGGTCAACTGATTCCATTTTTAGGTCAGAGTATAGTGTGAAGTTAGTTACAAACCTAGGTGCGAAGGTTATCATACGGAGAGCCCTATTTTTGGTTTCAAGCCTTGCAGGCTATACCTAACAAATCACATGTCAAAGTACAGTGTAAGTACAGTTTTCACTTTTTTTTAAACAAAAGCAAAATGTTCTGGATCAACTGGAGCGTGATAATCGTTGGGGTTGCTCATTCGACTGGTGAACCGACTATCCTTTTTGAATAGATGTACCAAAGGCTTGTGAATGGGTTGCTTAGCTTTATCGTACTCGTACCGATTAACCGGCACAGACATACCGTTTGTGTTGTACAATGGATACTTGGCACATAGCTGCAAAATAAATACATACACGAATAATTATATTTCTTGTTCAATTATAGATGTATAACTGCATGCTATTTGGGACTTGGTACAATGAATGTACAAATTAAAAAATTGACACATATAATTTAATATTAGGTAGCTGTATTTTTCTTACAGTTTTAAATTATCTATATTCTTACGTTGGCTTTTTTAGATGTCAAAATTTGTGTGAATTTTAAATATGTAATACTTTTATGTTACAGTTTTAAAAAAATACCTCGCTTTAAAATTGAAGTTTTGTAAAAAGTCCAACAAGGGAACATAGATAATGTTACTAACTTTCTGTTGAGTGGTAATTTAACTGTATAATATTAAAGCAAACACAATTGGTTTTGCTGGACAAAAATTTTCTAAGTTGCACGTGGGTTATAGAGAGAAAACAAATAGTCAAATTACAGCTTCTTAATAATTTAATGGGAGAGAATATACGTTAGCAATAAATGTGCCAATTAAGATAAAGTGTTTTTAAGAATTTATTAATTAAAATTGTATTTTATTATTCTATCAAGTTTCTATTTATATAAATTATAGACGTTCTCTATGTAAATACAATTTAAATTAATTATTTATTAATTATTACCTATGTACCTATATTTATATAATTATATTATGTATCTTTTGTAATAACTAATAATATTACAAAATACTATATATTTAGTATAATATTTTTAGTATAGTAAGGGGTTACCAAAATCTAAAAGCTGTACTTTATTGAGGAGAAAAATTTAAATTTATAGATATAACTTGATTGGCGAAAAACGGTAATGTCGATTTAGGTGGAATAGTGGAACAGGAACACCACATAATAAACCTGTAGGATATATAGCTCCCCATTTTAAATTCTCTAGTTACCATAGGTGCTAATTTTAAATTATACATTTAACTTAGAGGTGTCTATATATTGTAGGTGTGGCTATAATATGGACTAGGACTAGGGTGCACACATCCAGAAATCAAGAACATCTTTATCATGATTTCAATATGTTCGAAAAATTTAATCTGCAACACCTATTTATTAAACTGTTTAAACTATTGTATATGTTTATCATTTACACGACTCTAATATAATATGTTTTAATACTTGTAAATTTAGATTTTTTAGAAAACAACATTGAGTCGTTATAAAAATTTCTTAAAAAAAAAATGAAGCGTCTACATACTTCTTCGTCCAACTGTTCTCCAATTTCTTTTGGTTTGAACCCTTTAATTTTAAATGTACTGTTGTACGTAGTTTCAAATTGTCCATTTTGATCATAGAATGTTTTTGATTTAGCTTCCAAGTCGTTCATTACTTTTTCAGTCATTGTTTTCCACAAATATTCTTCAAATTCTTTTCTTTTTCTCTCTTAAAACAAATAATTCATTACATTCATTTTGTGTGTACCTATATAGTACCTATACATTACGTTATTAATTTATTATTCTGTTTAAAATAAAAATAATTTCACACTTTTTATAATTGTTTTACAATTTGTACAAAATATACAGAGATACTAGTATACACAAATTAAACGTGATTACATGGTAACAATATATCAATATAGAACAAGATTTATTGTAATTTCATGTAGGTATAACACATATTCGGAACCATCAAAATAACACTATTATCATTATTATTAGGCATATAGAACAAAAAAGTCAAGAGGTATTAGATCTAATTAGTATAATTAATAAACAATAAATTGACAAATAGCCCAGAATGCTCACACTTAGGCCTTCATTTTTTAAATATAAATAAATTTTTGTATATACTTATAAATGTTTTAAAAATATTAAATCCCTTTGGAGTTATCTCTGTTTTGTAGCCAGGGTTACTTGATGCTCGACGGTTGCGGTCGAGGGGGTTGCAGCCCTCTCCGAAATTTAGGAAAACATAAAAATGCTTTCAGTGTTCTGTGAAAATATTACGTAAGACGTAATGATATGTATTATAACTTGTACGAATTTAATACTGTACTTGTATGAAGGTTGCTGAAAAAGTCTAAAATATGTTGTATTCCCACACAATCCCACGGCGAATCAGCATACCAAACTTATGATAGATACTAATTACGTCTCGTCGTTTCACCGTATTATACAATTTCAGCCCTCCTTCCACACTCAAAAGGCTTGCTCATCTTGATAAAAAATAATATGTCAACACAAATTTTAATACGATATTTTCTCATCGGATATACCTCCGATGACAACAGCGACCACTTGGCACCTTAACAGGAAGATGACAATTGACAAGAGACAATTATTATTGATCAATCCGATACAGATTGACGAGACCAGATTTGCTGAAAAGAGTTAATATAAACTTTTTGTTTTCTTAATATACAAATGGATACTATAGACAATACTATTATTTTTAAGTAATTTAATTATTTTCAGTATTCTTAACTTTTAGGTGCGGAGTGACGAATATATTGATTTTACAATGATGTGTGTGGTTTTTTTTTTATTTATCTTAAATTGTGTATGTGTATACGATAACTCGTCGACATAATAAATGCTTCGTTTTTCCACTTCAGTAACTTTTCTGGTGGAAAATTCCAAAGTGTGCATTCAAAGGTCAAGATTGAAAATTCCCAGTATTTTACAAATAAAAAACCCTGGAAACCCCCAAAAAATGAAAGAAAACGGGAATTATGGTTTTAAAACTAACTATTTTTTTAACTCTAAAAAAAGTACAGGTACCTACCTATAAATCAAATTTTCACCGAATAATTATAATAGCATTTTCTATACACCATACAATTTTCAAAATATTTTTAATCTTGAACTATTTATAAACATAAGGAAATTTCGATTTCTATTAATTTTCTTTAAATTATTATCGATAAAAAAATTATCACTTTTCAAAATACTTGAAAATGTAATATACAAGCTTCCCCATTCTACACCACCGAAATCTGGAGAAAAATATTTCTTAATATAATATACATTAAAGTACGCAATCTATACTAAAATACGTTGCAGTGACTTCGAGTATCAAACTCAATATTCATCCCCATGGAGATATATCTACGAATACATTACTTTTATATTGAATAATAGATATCTATACCACGTCAATACGAGCAGCAATGAATTAATATATTTCACATAACGTTTTTATATATCTACCTACCAACACATTAAACACAAAATATAATGAAGTAGGTAGTAGAATAATCTTACATACTAATTTAGATTATACACCCTTTAAAGTTTAGACTAATTTAATAAAAATACTAATCGACCTTAACGCACCAGAACACGTAAACACATATTATACACACTCATAGTCTATTTTACATTATCATATTCATACACTATACACAAATACTAATAATTTATTATACCGGCCGTGTTAACGTGTGTGATAATAGCAGAGGTCGTCGCGGCTTCTTACACTTAGAACTTAAAAGGATCATAATATTCAAATTGACCTCCCTACACGGCTGCACAAACCACGTTTATATTAAACAAATTTACGTATACGTAACCAAAAAATCTAAAAAGTATGTATTCACAATTTTGTTTTTCTTTAGATATTTTAAGTTCAATTTTGGACAAATTTAGATAATATTTAAACGAAGAATATAAGGATTTTAGTTATTTAATTGTAGTTAAGAGCATAGATGCAATTTCAACTTTTTACTTGGGGGGGGGGGCTGAATATAATAAAGGCAAGCAGACCATTGCAATATAGCATATTAAAATTGTATGTCCTAGGTTTTTTTTTTGGGGGGGGCTACGGCTAAGTTTGGGGGGCTTGGCACTCCCAAGCCCCTCCCCCAATTTGCGTCTATGGTTAAGGTGCAGTTTACGCTCAGTTTTTCAAATTTTCCACAATTCTACACAATTTGAAAATTAAATTTTATATTTTAGTTGCCACTTCAATTATAAGACCTTTCCACCAATCTACTACCGGACTACCCGATACCTATTTAGGGGGGGGGGGTTGATAGGCTGTATTATATAAAAAAAAATGACTTTACTAAATAACTCTCAAACTTTGTAGAATTTTCGAATTTTGATGACTATTATTTGATCTGAAAGAAGAAGACTTCTTACAGCCCGCATCGATCTCTGATTTTGTATTTTATTTCAAATAATATTTTATTAAAAAATGTGTAAAAAAAATGCTTTTTATCTTGTATTGTTTTAGACAAGTTTGAGAATAAAATATTGAAAAACAGAGATCGATGCGGGCTGTAAAATATTTCCCTCTACGATTAAAATAAAATTATGAAATTTGGTTGATTCTACGAGGCGCGGTATCGTTATTCCCGCAGAATGTATTTTTCAAGACAAAATGGCATTGACAAAAAAATGTATTTAACAAGAATATTATCATAAAAATATTACACACTTAGGTCTATATAATATAAACCATTTCTTCATTATATCCTTTTGTATACAAAGTACAAACCATTAACCCGTACTACCATAACCTTTTCATTTTGTAATTTTTATTTTACTATAATATTACCTATATCAATGCATTATTTATTATATTTTAATTATAATTAAATTATTGTAACAGACAATTAATGAATATTTATTTTGTTTTAATTAATAACATTTTTTTTATGTGGTTTTTTTATAATAAATCATTATAAATAATTTAAAAAAAACAAATGAGATGTATAGTAGGTATAGTATATATCTAAATTGCTTGGAAAAAATTAAAGAAGTCAGTGACAAATTAACTGTCATTATGATTGAAATTGGGAACAAATGCACTTTATCAACCCCCTCGCGATTTTCAATTTTTTTTTCAAACGACTTGTTTTAATGTTTATAATGATGGTGTAAATTGTTCTTACTGGAAACTATTATTTTAGAAGTAATAGAATTCCAAAGTTTGAGATTTTACGTTTACGTTTATATGCTAATATTGACTGCCACGCGCTTCGCCTATAATAATTGTTGGTGAAATCAGAATTTGGCACACTAATTTAGTTTCGAAGTTATAGCTAATCGAAGTTTTCAGTTTATATAATTATAATTTATAACCCATAAATACTCATAATGCTACATTTTTCATCGGCTGGACTGTTGAGAAAAAAGCGATGTCTGCGTTGTTGCTCGATGCGCTGCGCTTAGACAAAAATTCGAAAATATCCCTCGATTTGTTATGTAAAACCATCTTGGGTAGTGGGTAGGTCTCGGAATTGAACAATGTTGTTAAAAATCAATTATCTAGATGACAGGCTAATGGTTACCTGTACAAAAAAAAAATTAAAATTTGTTATATGCGCTGCGAGTGGCAGTCAAGTAGCGTTGCGCACTTGCTCGCGAGCACATAAAAGTAAAATCACAAACTTTGGAAGGCTATAACTTCTAAAATAATAGTTTCCGGTAAAAAAAATGTACACCATTGTTTTAAGCATGAAAACCAAGTTCTATAAAAAAAGAATTTGAATATCGTAAAGCGAGTTGGTTAAGTGGATTTTAGCCTGAAATTACCAATACCTATGTTCAAATAAATATTAAAATATCCCAAAAGGCAAAATTAAACGGCAGACCATTAGATACTTAGATACACAAAATATAATTGGAAAAGAGTTATTTATTTGATTAATGTTTGTCAAATCAGGGTACAATACGCCATACGGTGTCATTAGTTCATGATTAATGGTTCTACAGGAATATTTTACATTTTCACAAACGACTGAATATGATTTTCTAAAAAGGTTTACTACCATCGGACTTTGCAATAAGCCTATAAGTCGGCTGGCTCTTGTACATTTTTTTTAAATTTAAATAGGCTACCTGTAAAAAAAGACTCAATTATCAAACGCCTTATACGACATATTACAGAACGATGATGAGAATTACTAAAAATGCAATATAATTTGCCTTGATATATAACTTTGCCGGAATAAATACAGGTTTCTACCTATTCCGTCGCGTACTCTAGTCCAAGTTGGTTCAACGGCCCGGGATCATCAATAAACATATCCACATAAAATGTCATTTCGATATCGGCTTTACATAGGTAATGCCTCGGGTAATGCCGTAATGGCATTTGCAGTGGCTTTTATTATAATAAGCAATAATAACCTTTATCGTCTAGTGGTTTTTCGGCGACAGTCTTAGGCGGCTGGTAAGTCTCGTGAGTGGTCGACTGCCGGGCACGCTCACCTTCGCCACCTGGCATCTCAAACGTCTGCCGCCGGCTACTGTTTTTGTGCGGCCTGAGGACCGTTTCCTTGTCGGCAGACATTATGCGGGTACAGTACCTACTTACCTGTATAATATTATCATATACTTAAACCGGAATCGAAAATACGATCTATATCGAATGGTGAGGAAACAGCAACGATTGTAATACTGTAATAGTATAGTATAATAAATTATATTGTATAATGTTATTATAATAATGTTTAATATGAACCATCTACACGGAAAATACTAACCCAATGCCCTCGCCATAGATAAGTACACCTGTATACCTTAAGTCCTTAACCCCCGCGGTTGGCAATATAAACAAACGAATTAACGAAATCCTGGCGTCCGTCGCCACGGGTACCACGCGCCACCGCCGCCAATGATATTATAGTCATGTATCGATCATGCGCTTCCGCCGGTTTAGGAACCACTGGCGCACAGCAAATACCGTCGCGCACTGGAATGAGGTTAGGATTAATAAACGTCCGTAAAAAACATACGACCCACCACTACCAGTCGCCACTCGTCAAAACTCAAAACTCCATAGTCTACTTATAATAGTTTGTACTCACTAGTCACTAGTCAGTAATCACTGCCATCGACAACAACACTAGTGTCAAATACACAACTCGAACGTAGAACGCCGCATCTTAATAATATTATATACCTATATACTACAACTACTACTACTATTAATAATAAAGTATTTTATCGATCACCGTCGGTGCAATTTCCGTGTAATCATTGCTGCGACTTACGACGTTATTTAGGATTTACGTTATACCCACGACAGTCATCTCGAAAACGTGTGTGCGCTCGTGTTCTGTTTGTGTGTGCGAGAGACTGCGATGACGATCTGTTCACGGATTTCCCGTTAATCACGCCTTGAAGGATAGTAATCGACCAGCCAGGTACCCCCATAATATTTTCTTTATTACCAGCATCCATCCCTCGAACCGTACCCCCAGATAGTAACAGTTTCCAGTAATCTCGGGGGGAGGGGTCGTGTTTCCGATATTTTATTTCCCGGGTCCACAATCTGCTTTAGACGGACCCAAGGAGTGCACTCATTCGAGAACGTACCGTTCTGCAGACGGGCTGTAAAAACTAGTGTATATTTTGGTTAATCAAATCGCTCATTGAACGTCTGGGTCATCAATCCATGCCCCAGTCCGAACAGTCAATTCCCAGATGTACAACTTTGTATTTATGTAATTATTTTCCACTAGGGATTCAAGGTAGACACAACTTTCTTAACATATGTTTCTTATCTTTTGAAAAAAATAGTTTCATAAATTTACAATATCGGCCACAGTCCACAGAGTTTGATCCATTTGAGTAACATCAAAGATTCAACTATTTAATTATTGTTTGCCTAAAAAGTACCCATATTTTGTTATTAAATGTGGGTGTATTGTTATTAGTTTATTACTGATAGTAGGTACCATCATATAATTCAATTGATACAGACCAGGCTTGTGTTATGAATGACTCAACACAATTTTACTATTTCTGTTTGTAAGTCAACAAACATTTCAAATGTTTAAAATTCAGTATACCCGGGAGTATACCTAAACAAAATAGGTAGTTGCAACCTTTTGGGATACATTTCAATATTATTTAATACTAAACTAACATTTTTAAGCATGTCTGTTTCAATTGTAATTTTTTGTTAGCTATTATTATAGTTATTATAATATCATAATAGTACTTGTTAAATAACAATGTTTTTTTTACTTATGTTGACATATATGATGCAAATTGCCTTTTTATAGATCAATAACTTATTTTATTTTCAGATTAATTGTTAACTGTCTACATAATCAAAATGGAAATCGAACAGTTGGTTTATGAGACACTCCTACAGGCGAGTAGTCAACATCCTGATATGTTAAAACCTGCTGAACAAAAACTTAAAGAATGGGAAGTGGAACCAGGATTTTATTCAGTGTTATTCGTAAGATATAATTTTTCTATCACTAAAATAAATTTGACTACCTATACATATTTCATAGTATAAGTTTCTACCTATAGTGTACATGTTTATTGATTTTCAGAGAATATTTTCAAATCAATCATTAGATTTAAATGTTCGTTGGATGTCAATTCTATGTTTTAAACAAGGTGTAGAAAAATATTGGAGAAAAAACATTGAACAGTATGTACCTATCATATTGCATTAAGTTTATCAATTAGTAAAATCATGATCTTTTATAGTGCCATTTCCGAAGAAGAAAAAGTGACTCTAAGGAAAATGCTATTAATACATTTATCAGAACCTGTCCCTCGACTTGCCACTCAAGTCAGTGTGATCATTGGTAGAGTTGCGAGGTATACATTTTTTCTTAGATATTTTAGTAATACAAATTAAAGAAGGTAATACATCATCTATGGAGAAAAAAATATTTTGATTTGTAAATCAATCATTATTTTAAGTTTATCCTAATGTTATTATGACATATTAACATGTTATTTTTACGTTTTTTTCTTCTCATTTTTCAAAGAAAATATTTATAGTATACCCTATTCAAAATAAGATTGAACCACTTGGCTAACTAAAACACGGTTTTTCCTCACGTCCCCACCATAATCCGGACATCGGTGAGAGCGTTAGCACAGGCGCCTGATGACTGTCGGCCAATCACAAAACGCATATCCATCGCATGGGGGGTCAGGCACTGTTTGACGGCTCAGTCTGCATGCTTATTCTGAATAGAGTATAGTATTATCTCAGATTTTCATTTAATGTATGTTATTATAATAATATGTTATTTAAAATAGCACAATTCCAGCATTTAGTACTTTTAAGTAGTAATTTAACTTTTAAAATTGAATTCTTTCCATTTCTTAGAAGTTTTTTTTAAATAGAAAAAACACCAAATTATGTTGAGAGAGTTTAAGCATCTATATGTTTTAACAAAATCTTAATAATTTATAGATAAATAAATTGTGTATTTTTGATTAAAATAGTTTCAATGATCTAATACTATATAATTTTCACTATTTAATGTGAATTACAAAAGTTATTGTAAAATCCAATTTCTTAATACCTATGCTACTAATGGCATTGTTGTTTCCAATAGTTTAATTGTTAATTAGTCAATTAGATATGATTAGCTAACCTACAACAGTATTTAATATGTGGAATTACATTTTTTTAACTATTGAAATTTAATTATCAAGTCAATCCTTAAGAATTATGATAACAAAATAACTTACATGTTATATGTACTTATTTTACATTTTTCAAAATATTTCTTTTACTTAATTTGTTTGATTTGCCCAATCTTTGTACTTTGTAGGTATGTTAGGTCGATTGTAAAATGTTATCTTTTTCCATTTTTAGGTTAGATTGGCCATATGATTGGGGAGATTTGATGCCAGAACTTATAGAACGTATTAAATACGATCCACAGAATCGTGCATTACTATCTATGCATCATGTGGTAAAATCATTAGCGGGAAAACGATTGTATGATAGTATAAAACTCTTCCAAGATGCTTCCAGCCAACTATTCCCAAATTTTTATAGCCATTGGGAACAAAGAACAGATGCTTTTATTAAAGAGGTAAGTTCTATAAATACATTTTTAATAATATCTATTACAAATTTAATATAATAATATGATTCTTTTACATATAGATGGAACATGGAAATGTATCACCTCCAGTTGCCAAACTTTTGGAAGATGCATTTTATACTCTAAAGATTTTGTCCAATTTTGTATTATATGGTTTTAAATCTCCTTATCCCAGTGATGTCAAACGGTTTATCTTGGCTATTTTCAATAAAGTTCGGCCTATTATTGCTTGTCGTAAGTTAATGAAATTTTGAAGTGCAATTGAACTGAAATTATAAATTATTTTTTATTTTAGGTGCTTACTATCCTGATTTAGTTGAAAAATTTGTCTGTCGTATGTTTAAAATGCTAATGGCAATCTTAGAAGATCATCCAGCTGAATATCTGGATTTCATTCAACCAACTGTTGAACTGGCTTATTTCTATGGTTTTACTGCTGATGGAAACACTGTTGTCTTTGAGAGATTCTTAATACAGCTTTTTAACTTAACCAAATTAATATTAATTTGTCCACAGTATAAATTACCACGTACTAATGGCCCTATTTGTGAAATGGATGGTGAGCTATTTTATTTTTAAAAATAATTTGATCATTCAACTGATCTGAAAATTGAAACTTAAGCTCTTTAAAATTACAAATATAATTATAAATGTACCTATTAAATTAAAGTATAAAATGTGCGATTATCAAACATTGACTGTCTAAAAGTATACTATTAACATACTACTGCCTCAATATTTTCTAAAATAACTTTTATTCAATCAAATTAAATTTTTTTATACAATACATAATATTACATTTTAACATTGTTTTAGAAACTGCAAAACGAGTATCAGCTTCAGCAGTTCAACATAAAGCTTCTGTATTCAAATCTGATAGATTAATGATAATGTGTCAACAGTTAATATACAAGTATTTTTTATTAACACCAGCGGAATTAGAAATATGGGATAGTGATCCTGAAATGTTTGGTAAGTGGTTCATTATAAGTTATAACCATTAATTAAAGTTAATTAATTAATTGAGAGTACCATTTTTAGTTAAATTCTAATTACTTATTTATTATTACAGCTACTGATGAAGTAGGAGAATATTGGAAGTATAATTTAAAAGTAAATGGTTTTTTAGACATTTATTTAGTGATTTAACAAATATAATTGAAACAAATGAATTGTAATTTTTAGGCGTGTACAGAATCTTTATTTATGTCATTATTCCACGAGTTCAGGGAGCTGTTGACACCTAGACTTGCGGCAACCATTGAGTCAAATAGGGAGTTTGTTGACCCTACTAATTTAGAAGCAGTATTAAAAAAAGATGCCATTTATAATGCATTTGGACTTACCGCATTTGAGATGTTTGATATTGTAAGTATAAAAATACATATCAATGTATGATAGACTTAGGAAAATTTGTATTAATTGTACCTATACAGAATTTATGAACACACATTTACACTGTCCATCGTACATTATTATTTATTTCTCTTATATTCTCAGTTCAGCTATTATTTGCATTTGTCAAATGATACTGTGTTGAATTTATATTAAACTTATATTCGATAGATTTTTAATTTAACCATTTCACTGTTATACTATTTATCCACTGAAACCTGTGTATGCTACGTAAAATAAATATTAAATTTAATTATATTTTAATTTTGGGATCTATATGCTCTATTATTTAAGTTTAAAAAAATGCGAGCCAAGGTTTCCTAAAACTTGTACGGTTACCGACAAATGAGAATATTATAAACTGCAGGGACGTAATAGTACGTCTGGAGCAGTGAAAGGGTAAACAATTATTAATACATTGGTAATTTTTTTTTTGCACTTTTTAATTAATAAAAAAAATAAAAAAAAGGACTTGACGTGCTCAACAATGATGGATATCTTAAATATATTAGAACAATGCAGATCGAGGCTTAAATACATTCGATGAAATGCAATAATATACTCTCCTGTGTTAAGATTTATTGTTCTAAATTATATAATTTTTAAGTGAAGCTAACAAAAAGAATTTTGACTTATTTGTTAATTTTGTTACTTGATTGTTTGTATTAGATAAATTTTGACGATTGGTTTAATACGACATTACGCCAAGAGTTAATGGAATCTCATGGTCATTCACGTGTATTGAAGAGACGTGTGGCGTGGTTGATTGGTCAATGGCTTACAGTAAGACTGAACCCTGAATACAGACCTGAATTATACAATATTCTTATTGGACTTTTAAACCCTGAACAAGATATGGCCGTTCGTTTAGCTGCGACGTCCACTTTACGTTGTGCAATCGATGACTTTGATTTTAGTTCTGAGCATTTTATTGAATACTTGGAACCAATGGCATTCTCGTTATATAAACTCTTAGTTAGTGTCCGAGAATGTGACACAAAGGTATTAACATGTCTCTATTATAGTTAAAATATTTAAACTCTATTCAATCACATATATATTTTATTCATTCTGTGTTATGTTAATGTTTCAGTTAAATGTGCTACATGTCATGTCATTTATGGTGGAACGATTAGGTCCGATGGTAGAACCTTATTTTGATTCTTTACTTCAGTATCTGCCAAAATTATGGACAGATTCAGATGACCATCACATGTTACGCTGTGCAATTATTTCCACATTAACACAAATTGTACGAGTAAGTATAATATTTTATTTATTTACTTTATAACTATGTTGTTTAATTTATCTTGCTAAAAAAATAAATAGACAAACTGATTAGGTTAGTTGTGTTAGTTTTTCTTTACAAAGCTTTCTTTTACTTCAATCTATACTCTGTTCAACGAGAGAGCGCAACTCGCTCGCATATCCAAATGAACACTCTCCATCGTCTTGATGCCTAAATTCTCTCACCACAAAGTACCTACGGCAGCGGTTGTGCTGGTTAAATGTAAGGAATGAGCGGATTACAACAAGTTTTGGTCGCCGCAGAGGTGCACTCTCGTTGAACAGAGTATAGTGTTATGCACTTCTGTTAATTGTTCATTTAAGCTCAAATTTAACATGTATAATACATATATAATTTAGTATTAGCTGCTTATACTTATTTCTTTTGCAATTTTTAAATATTAGGCCATCCGAACAAAAAGTGCCGAACTGACTCCATTCCTAGTTCCTATTATTCGATATAGTGTAGACATTAAAGAAAAAGCATACATTTATCTACAAGAAGATGGTCTTGAACTATTATTATCTTACATTGAATCGTGTGCAACATATAATGATGACATGCTAAGTTTAATCAATTATCTTCTTCCATTACTAGGTAAGTGCAGCATTAGAGTTTTTCTATTTAAATTAATTGTATTAATGGTTTTTTTTGGACTTACAGATTACTCTACTGAACATCTAAAAACTGGATTAATGATACTTGAAGCTTATGTTCTGATTGCACCAGATAGGGTCATATCGGCAAGTATTATTGTTTGTAATCTAAAAATAATATTAACCCTTTGAGTGCTATGGGCATATATATACACCCGGATCAAGCAATCCCCACAGGCTATGGGCTTATATATACGCTTTGTTAGTTATTACGCTACAGAAAAATAGTATAAATATGAAACCTGCAGTGACCTCTAGCTTATAAAATTCCAAACTATTTAAAAAAAAAGGTGCTCTGCTGTACAGTAAGTTACAAGGGGGTCACTGTATAATGGATGGTATTAAATTTGAATTAAATGATATATCATTGTAAAAGAAAAAATGATTCTGAGCGAAGACGGTATGTCAGTCTAGGTATAAGACATATTATATACTTATCTATGGTATTAAAAAAAAAATTGACTTATAATAAATTTCAAATTAATCATATCACAATAGCCATTAGGTACTTATAACTTGTTATACATCAACAACAAACTGTGTTACTATAATAGATATATAATAGTATACTTTAAAAGTTTCAATTACCCACGAATAATATTATACAATCACAACAAAATAACTAAAATAGTTATTCTAGGTTTTTAATATGTAATTTCGTCCAAATTTGAACTTAAAATAACTATAAAAGTAAACTGTGCTTAAGTATTTTTTGGTAACAGAATAAACTATTTACGTAGAATCTTATTTTAAATGTTCAATCCTTAGATATAAAAGTTCAACATTTTATACATTTTTAACTAGAAAATAATTTTTCAATTTTCAATTTGATAAATTTTGTCAAAACTCGATCTTAAAATGCTTATAAAAAAAAAATTTGCCTATGCATTTTTAATATTTTTCAACTGCTATTGTAACAATATATCAGGAGCCTTGTATTAAATTTTTACACTTTTTGGCCCAACAGATAAAACTTGATTGATATTCATAGAAAAAAAATAAAAAAAATGAAGTACAAAATTGTCCGTAAACAGCTCAAAATAAGTCAAAATATTTTGAAAATTTTTCAAGTATAAGAATTCATAAAATACACATTCAGTGAAATTTTCATTTATTTACAGTTATTCGTTTTTAAATTAGAACAAAGTAAGAAAATCGAGTGAATACCCAATGTTGTAAAAATTTGAATTTCAAACGCTCATAAAAATTTAAATTGACTTTCTTATAGACATTTTTTTTTTTTAATAAAGGTAGATAATCTTATAAGGAATCTTCAATCTTGTATTGCATTTTAAAATCTTAGATTTTAAAGAAAAATTTTTACGAATTCTTAACTCAAAATAATTTGCTAATTTTTGTAATTTTTTCATATTTTGTCAATTTTTGAACTTTAAATGATTATAAAAAAAAACTGTGACTAAGGATTTTTAATATTTTTCAAATGTCATTGTAACAATATAGTAGGAGCCATGTATTAAATTTTCAAGTATTTTTACTCAACAAAAAAAGTTTTATTGACATTCATAGAAAAAAAACTTATAAAACGGGAAACTGAAAAATCCCTAAACAGTTCAAAACAAATCAAAATATTTTGAAAATTTTATCATGTATAGGATATAGAAATATAAGCAACAAGTGAAAATTTCATGTATCTATGGTCAATTTTTTTAAAGTTACACCAAAAACCAAAGTCGATTTTATGAAAAATCGATTTTGCGTAAAAATTACTGTTTTTCCTTAATTTTTCTTTTCTTTTTCTTGGCGCTTTTGAAAATTACTGGGAATTTTAAACTTTGACCTCCCCAATGCACCAACGATATTCACTTTCCAATCGAACAAGATAGTTAGAAGTTGGAAATCGAAGCATTATTTCGACTACTTATCTTGTAAACAGACACACAAAAAGAAAAAAAAGGCAGGTAAGTGGATGTTGCTCAGCTGTACAGTAGGTTACAAGTTGGTCATTGTTTAATGGATTGTATTAAACTTGAATTCAATGATATAATATCATTGTATAAGAAAAACGATTCTGAACGGAGACGGTTTGTCAGTCTGTATATTTTATATTGTCATTAATTATTTAATTTATTTAATTATTATTTTTTTATTCGTTGCTACGGTGATAAACAAATTGTTAGAAATTAAAATCCCATTTTAAGCGGTTTTTCGTAATTTTTCAGTACTTTTTCCCGTGGTATTAAATAACAAAATCGAAAAATGACCTCTCTAAAGTACCATCTTGGTCCAATTTGCTAAAAGATAAGGTACTATATGTTGAAATCAAAGCACTCCTTCTGGTAGAAATTTTGTATACAGGATATAAAAAAAATAAAAAATAAAAATAAACACCATTGTAAAACCACTAGCTTCCTTGCTCCGCTCAGAATCTAAAATATAAAAACACATCATTGTAAAATCAATATATTCATCGTTCCACTCAGAATTTAAAAATTAAATTAGATAAATATCTATGAAGTTCGTAAACTGATATTTTCCGATTCACGAATTTCAGGGGTTCCCAAATTTGCATGGGAGGTGGGTCAAATTTCCATAAGACCTTTAGAATTCTTTTTAGCCCCTTGTGTAAAAATGTACTGGGATGAAAAAAAGGTTAAAGCCCCCCCCCAAAAAAAAATCTTCACCCTACGCCTATTTTGATAGGTTTGAAAACCTAAGTAAGTATTGGTTTTCTTGAAATTGTTTTTAATCACTGTAAGAATCATGACAGTGCATGAAAATGAGACTAAAAAACTCAGTATCGATAGGTATCAATGTAAATAATAACTTAGCACTGAAAGGGTTATATAATGTACACAAAACTTTTTAAACAAATAAATTATATTATATTCACTATTGTTTTTACTATATTTGTTAAATAATTTGTTTTGTATTTAAAGAGTATTATCAATAATTATAAACTATAATAGTTTTACAAATTATATTTATTATTTAACATTTGACATTTTCTTTTTTCAGGAATATGGTACTCAATTATTTAGCTTAACTACATCTTTAATGAATGATTTGAAAGATGAAGGAATTGTTTGTATATTATCGTTATATGAAACAATTATAAAAGTAAATTTACCACAAACTATTGAGTTAATGATGGTCGTTTTAGGACAAAATTTAAAGTAAGAATTATTAAATTTGTTTTAAAGGCATACTGAAAATGAAAATAAAAATAATGTTTATAGATAAATTAAAAAGAGAACTATTTTAGTTAAAAATTTACTTGATTTTTCAGGTGTTTATGTTCTGGTGAAATGGGTTTGGCCATAAATAGTTGCCGGTTATCTTTAATTTCTAGAGTTATATTAAATGATTCAAGTATTTTTATTAAAGTAAATAATTTCTAATTTTGATTTGTCTAAAATTTATTTTAAACGGTTAATTGTTTGTAGGTTGTAGAACATTTATGTATGAGCGAAAATGGAAATTTAATGAATTTTGATAATGTACTTAATAGAATAATTGAAGTTTGGTTAGAAAGAATGAATCAAATTGTACAAAATGATAGAAGAAAATTATTATGTCTTGCTTTAGCATCACTTTTAACTTGTCAAAAAAAGTAAGTTATTAATTTGTTTGTTTGAATTTATTGTTAATAATATTGTTTATTTGTTTGTTTGTTTTAGACCAATTTTAGAATTATTTAAAGAAATCATAACTGTGTGTGTAGAAACTTTAAATGACATAATGAGAAAGACTGACGATGGAATTTATGCAGAGTGAGTAGATTATTAATATTGTAATTTTCAATAAACAAAAATATCTTAAATATGGTTTGTCATCATAAAATAAAATAATTATTAGATCACTTGTCCATATATTACATTAGATTTACTTGTCTGTTTAAATAGTTCCATGTTAATGACTGACGATTGCTCCAATGTAAGCTCACGGGCAAATTCCGAGTGCGAATATCAATATGAAACCGAACACAATGAACGTCAAAGATGCCTGTCGCTCAAAGACCCTATTCACTGCATTCCATTCCATAAATACCTGCAATCTCAAGTAAGTAAACATTATCTAAGGCACTATTGTCTTAATAAGTGGTATTTTACCAACTGTAAATGATTGCTCTTAACATTCATTTATACTTCATTTTTAATTATTGATTTTTAAAGTGAAACAGATTACTATTTACTAATAATAAATTTTGATTGCTTCACAGTTGTTGGCTTTGCAAAATCAAATCGGAGAACAGCAATTCCAAGGTGTTCTTATATCTAAGGTCGGCAGTGATATACTTGAACAACTCTATGTGTACATGTAATATGCAGAAGTAGATAAATTCTACATGCCTCGTTCTTCCACTCTGCTTAAATTGCCTTTTTATATAATAACCATGTTATATTATTATACAATCCTTAGCATAACTGTGGGACGTGTAGTTGCGTGTAACATAACCCAGTTATGAAAAATTTGAAAGAGACGTTATGTTTTAATTCTGTTTCTTCACAAATATTATTTATAAAGATTTTTTACTCGCAGCTAATGTGTCGGATCGGTGGTAAATGTATCGTGTTACATAGTTACTATAAATATTTCAGTATTTGAATACTTGGTGAAGCATATCACATACACCACAATAATTTTACATTTTTAGTAGCTTGCCATTGACCCGATGAGAATAATATATACTAGTCATTAATGAATAGTATGAAAGTTGATTAATTATAATTATTATGCTTTTGATGGTAACAAAAAACTGTAAACTTTTAAAGTCTGCCTGCTGCTGTTTGCACATATCTTTTTGTTTTGCAATATTTGTTCACTGAAAATGGTTTCATCGATAACGTGTAGTTGAACCAGTACAAATATCACCTTAGTAAATATTACATTTTCTTAGTTTCTAATATCATTATTACTGTTATTATATTGGTTACCAATACGTTATTCTGTTCAACAGCGGTCGTTGGACAGAACAAAATACTAGACACTATCTGATTAATTCTATATGTCAATATGTGATAACATTTTGTCTTGTGTTTAATTCATTCTGATTTTAAGTGGGCAATTTGTTGCTGTTAAAAATGTTATTCAAGTGTTTATTCTTTTTATTATTATAAAAAATAATTAATAATGCATGTATGTATGTATAAGTATATAATAATAATTATACTGTTAATGATATTATTTTTGTTTTCTTAATTTTGGACTTGCGATGAAACATTTTGTATAGACTCGTGTAATTACAATTTTTATTAACATTTTTATGACAACATATTTTAAATATCTTTATGAGACATAACATCAAATTAAAAATAATATTTAATATTCAATGAAATAATAAATTTACATTATTAGTATGTTTTATACCATAGTTTATATATTATTATGACCTATATAGTTGTATGTTGAGTACTTGTCAAGTGTTATTTTCTACTTATAAACCTTCAAAATTATAAAATTGTGTACAATAATATAATTATTTGTGGCTCGGTGTGTGCATTCAATTTCGTATCTGTTCTGAGTGAACGCACTGACCGGTGTCACTAGCTCCACGGATGGGTTAGGTTTAAAGCCTTTACCCCTCCCCCCCCCAAAAAAAAAATATATATAATTATTTATAAGCTCAAAGTTCAATGTCAATAAAGTCTATTGTTTTTAATGGAGGCAAAACAATCAATATAATATCTATATAAAAATGATATCCCTTGATCATGCCATAACTTGTGGTTATTTACCGATTTGGCTGATTTTTTTTCTGTTGTATTCTTAATTGATACTTGGCAGGATAAGGTTTGTATGAAATAAAATCCACCTGAAAATTAGAAATTCTGGATTGGGTACTTGTGCGTTATCGCGACTACCTCATATTATGGGTTATTGCGAGGCCGTTTTATATGCGATTCTATTTTTTCCAGTGTCGTTACAATCGCACTTATCGAAATTTTTATATACTAGCTGGGTAAATACAATAATGCGGTAAATGATTGGAATAATTATTTACGGGAAGTATGTGTTATAACTTTGAGAGAAAGAAAAAATAAAAAAATTGGAGGAAAAGGAAAAATAGTGGAAATTGACGAAAGTTTGTTCACTAAACGTAAAAATAATTGTGGAAGAGTACTTCCCCAGCAATGGATTTTCGGCGGAATATGCCATGAAACAAAAGAGGTATTTTAAGTAGAAGTTCCTGATCGGTCTTCTGCTATTTTGATGTCAAAAATCAGTGTTGGGAAAGTTCCTTTTAAAAAGGAACTCGTTCCCGTTCCTCGTTCCTACTGTAAGAAAGGAACTTGTTCCCGTTCCTCTTTCCTGTCCCGAAAAAAGAACGCGTTCCCATTCCTTTTTAAAAAGGAACGCGTTCCCGTTCCTTCATGTTCCTTTTTTTGCAATTTGAGTGTTGGTCAATGGTGTATTTTGCGAACAATTTTTAAGTCAGAAATAATCGAACCAAGAGAGTTAACCGATTATTTCTGACTTAAAAATTTTTCGTATTTCGTTTATTGGTCCATGGCGCGCGGAACCGGAAACGACCCGGAACACGACACGTAGTCGACCGACGGCGTCGCGGCTCAGTGGAAACACACTATATGCGCTTCATAAAATATACTGTGGCACTCATCGTGTTAAAAATAAATATATTTATATTTTTTTTTTCATTATTTGAGGAACGGAAATTTTCGTTCAAGTTCCTTCAAAATAGGAACTCGTTCCCGTTCCTCGTTCCTATATTTTAAATGGAACGCGTTCCGAGCTTCGTTCCTATAAAAGGAACGCGTTCCTTCCCAACACTGTCAAAAATACATCAATACATAGAGAAAGGGACGATAATTTACTCTGATTGCTGGCGGGCATATAACGCAATACAAGATAATGGCTATGAGCATTTTACAGTGAATCATTCTTATAATTTCGTTGATCCAAGTACACATGCTCACACACGACACACATGGGATAGAAAGACTTTGGGGATCGGCGAAATGGAGAAATAAACGTCATAGATGTACAGCGCGACACCATTTAGAATCTTACTTTACAGAGTTTATGTGGAATACTTATCATAATGAAGATAAGTTCAGTTTTACTTAATAGTATTGCAAATCATTGGCCACCACAAATTGACTTTTAAATTTTATATTTTATAAATTTTACTCGTAATTGTATATTTGACGTATAAATTTGACATATTTTATTTTATTAGATTTGACATATTATTATTATATTTTATAATTATTATCATATTATCAATAAATACATTGACATTAGCTTTGGGTAGTTTTGTATTATTATAAACGTATTAAAAATATGTTGCGTTCGAAATTAAGGTAATCGCGATAATGCACAAGTGAAATCAAGGTAGTCGCGAGGAGTCGGCGGTAGGCGCGATAACGCACAAGTACCCTGCCACCCTGGATTGTAACAATACAACTGTTGTGCCATTTGTCCAGCAAAAAATAAACTAAATAATATATTTTTGTTTATTGCTATTGCCTATTGGTTATGCTTATGAATTATGATTGAATAAACCTGTTTACCTGTATATTATATAATATGGTCAAAACCATCTGACTTAGTAAAAATAATTTTTTTACCGCTGTACATGGATCATAGACAACCTGTTAATAAAACATTCATAATCGTGTACGCACCTAGCGGCGTCTGCAATTCACCACTGATGGATTTCCTACCTGAAAATAAACTGCTCACATAAAGACAAGAGTGTTTTTCGGGTGTCTATAATATATTATAATCGAATGTGTCCTGACTGACCTAACGTAGAGCCTGTATAATGATAGTTTGAGGATTGTAATTTTCACTGTACCTTGTAATTGTGCACTAAGAAAACATCTTCCTAAATTTGTATTTTAAAGTGGTGCTTGCTCAAGTACTTTGCAATTCAAGATGATCAATGACAATGTTTTAGTATTGTATCCCATACATTGAATATTATTTATTAAATAACGAATTGAACAAAGTTTGAATCATATATATTTTGCACTAATGGACAAGCCAAAACATTATAAAAAAAACATAAACACTTATTTTTGGACAAAGTTAGGTAATAAATCAAAGAATAACATTTCCAATTATTTTGTTGTGATTTAAAAATATTATTTTCTCGGGGAACTCCTTAAGTATATGATCATATTTTACACACAAATGACATTTTTTAAGACTTACGAAACCCAAAAAAAGTTTTTTAATTTGAAAGAACGTTTAATTCTAAAAATAATGGTGAAATTATACATATCTACTCACATTATTCAATATACTAATAAAATAAAGTATCAATTTTAAAATGTGAACAACTTAGCTTTTTCCATATTTAATTTTTGGAATGAAGAAAATAACTTAAGAATAACAATTTATGAAAATGAAATAGATATTTCAATTATGCCGTTTATGCAAGAAATGAACAACGCATACTTGTACAGTTTTCCATGTTTCAAAAAGGAAAAACATAAGTTGCTTTTTATACAAACAAATTTATGTTAAAAATTGTTTGATTGCCAACTACTAGGTAATAGAGTCTAGAGATCATTGAATCATTCTCAATCAATTAATAAATAAATACGATAGTAATTATAATTTGAACAAAAACCATTACAATTTATTGAAATACATATTTAAAACATCAAGTTTATCATGAGGTTACAATGTTTGTGTATCACATAAAAAAAAACACAAATATATTTTATTAAATAATTTGGATGTTGTAACATTAGTTAGGAATGAATATGGGTTCTATATTATAATTAAATACAACAATAGTAATATTTTCCAAAAAATTATTATTTTTGATCCCACTTTCTAATTTCACCAAACAATTGATCCCATGAATAGTAATTATTTTATAATTTTATAAAATGCCATTTATCAACTGCAACAGAAATAGTAACAACATATATGTAAAACTAAATACAATTATTTCATTGAGCTGCAAAACTACAATTTAAAGGTCATGTCATTAGACCTAATGCAGAACCATACATTATCAACTGTAAAAATCATCAAGATATTAAACAATATTAATCAAGTATTACCAAATACACTAAAACCTAAAATGTATAAAAACTAAGTAATAAATATTATATAAATAATAAATATTATATAAATAATAAATATTATATATAAATTTATGAAGAAATTTAATGTATTTAATTTTAATGGTCAATACTCAACATTCATATATGCAAAATAAACTGATGTTCTAAAATAAACGATATCAATGATAAACAAATTAACAAACATAGTTTATGAACAAAATGACCAAAGAAAAAATATTATGCTTTCTACATTTATTTATTTCCAAACTAAATATGGGATATTGTATATAATTATTATTAAGTTAAAAACATGGAATTAGACTAATGCAAAAACATAGTTCCCTTCGATATACAATTTGGGACTTAAAATATGAAAAATAAATTATTTATCGTTATTAATCGTTTATAAAAATTCCGTAACAAAGAGGGATACACGTTGCTAACGTTCTATCAGATTACGGATACGGTACAACTTTTATAGTCCAATACATCATACCGTAGGGATACGTAAACCCTCACAGCTGATCGAGTGTCTATTCTATATTGTTCTGTGCCGTGATCATTGATTATCAGGTATCAGCTATAGAATAGTTCATTATCAGTTGCACACCATGAACATTTTCAATGCTGAATTAAATAATGTTATCAAATAAATATTATAAAATAATGATGTACGAAAATAGCATGATTGCATTTTTTCAAGAACATGGTCCACTGCCTGATGATTCTGGTGTTCCAACTTAATATGTTATGGAGATATTTAACTGTGTATGAGAAAAAAATGTGCCACAGGAAAAAATTGAGATTATTGTTCTATATTATAGATCTATAAGGTACATAACAAAAGGTCGTAAAATATATCCATACATTTGCGAAGATAATTCCTTTATAAAATGTCTTAATTTAAATCCCTGCTATTATTAAAAAAAAATGTAAGACATATTTTAGAACGAGTATACTATTTGATGATTGGCTTACAAATATAGTGGTATGTATAACTATTTGATCCAAATCAACTGCAATTAACTGGTTCAATATGACGTGTAGAAATATGTTAATCAGTTTTTGAAAAAAGGCAATGGAGTATATTAAATGGGAAAAAGTTGAAATTGACAAATTGTTTTTAATAGAAAAAATAAAATAATATTGGTTGAGTTTTGCTTGGTAACTATCAATCATAATTTAGATTCAGATTTGAACCAAGATAATATCCCACCAAATCGTAATTAGGCAAGTGAACTGTCATACCACGTTTTGGGGATAAATGTTTGGTTGTTGTCAGGGCAGCATTTTGCAGGGTTAATGATATTATTACTCTATAGTTTAACCCATCCTTGTGATAAAAAGGTTAGTCTCAAAAGTGCACTAATACTTACACAATTGAGTGTATATAATACATTTTATAATTTAAAAGGCAAGGCGCAACCCATCAAATGTTTCCATATAATTTAGTTAAAGAGTGGTATCATTTAATTAATATTATAGGTTTATAATATATTGTATTATGAGATAACTTTTTATAGATAAAAATCATTCTGAATTGTTAAGAATAAGAAATTAATTTTTTTATTATTAAAATTAAATTATTTAATTTACCTTCTGGTAATAATGGGCTAGGCTCGGATAGTGGCAAACTCTCCGATAATATTGCTTGAACTTTTTCGTTATCAATGCTAGAAGCATTATTCAATGTCGTGTTCACACTAAAATCAATCATTATATTTAAAAATATTGTTATAGAAATATACCATTGAAAAAATTGTTTGTATTAAAAATTTCCTTACCAGGATAAGCCGTCAGTGTTTTCTTTTTGTAATAATGCTTTCCAGTATTCATGAGTATCACTCACTATTTTTAAAGCAAATTCTGCATCTTTGGGTTCACCATTAAACGCAAACTTATTCTCCGGTTTACCATCTGGAATTTTGTAGATCTTTAACCATTCTACAGTGGCTTTTAGTAGACCAGGAAAATGTTTTTCAATGTCTTTAATGTCTAGAAATAAAACCATAATATTATAAAAATTAGCAGGATAGTAGAATTAGTTCATACAAATAATAAATATTAAAAAAAAAATAGGATAAGGTAGGGCTGGTAGTATATCAAATTTAGATACCGGTATCTAGTGACAGCTTATTACCTGTATTATCAGTTATACGGTATTTTCATTAAATTTAGGACAATCTTTCCAAAATATGAAAATTCAATAAACATATCATGAACTAAGGGCCTGTTTTACAATCATAGTTTAAACCTTGGTTACGCCTAACCCACTGATTTTACCGGCTGAATTCGGTGGTTTAACCTCAGTTTAACGATTGTAATACGGGCACTTAGATAGTATGGACTGGACACAGTGGCTAAAATCGTAATAACAAATAATCGCTTAGTTCCCTTATCCACCATTATAGGCGAAAAAATGGGTGGGGGGGGAGGCTGGGAGGCTTTAACAATAGTTTCTACAGCCCTCCAAAAAAAACTAATGATTTCACTACTATAATTTAAAAGCATTATAAGAATTTCAAGTATAAACCTGAGCTCTAGCCCCTCCCAAATTTCAAACACTATTTACACCACTGCCCACCAAACTAAATAACCGTGACAAAATAGGATCACACACCACCCAGCCTTGTCCAGTCCATACTATCTTAGTTCATGATTCATAAGAAAAATAATGGTTTTGTAATGTAATTATTGATTAAAAAAGGTGATAAAACATCTTTTATACAACGAGGAAGGGGGGAATTTATAAAAAAAATCTAGCTCTACAAGCTGTTTTAGATCAAAAGTTCATAGTTTGTTTTGCAATCATTAACTACCATAAACAGTGGAACCACAGTTAGTCAAAATAAAAGGAAAATGAAATTTTTTTGACCAACTAAGATTAGGTTAAGTAGAATAGGTAGAATATTTATTTCAACTTATCGAGGTTTCGCTATAATTGAAAAAGTAGGATTATGGACCATTTACGTCCATATTATGTTGTTTAACACAATACCAAAAATATACTTTCCGAATATTTATATCCAAATTAGTAATTACCCTTTATATCGAGGACATATGTTTACATTATTTTCGGTAATTACTTTGGCATGGTATTTTCAGTAACAACTGGATACTAGTAGGCAGTAAATAGTAATTAGTAATTACCAATGTATCAAAAATACTGTCAGCCCTAAGATACTGCGTCTAAGTATTAAATTATAATTTATAATAATATAATTACCGTTTACTTCTGGTGCAATTGGATCTTCTACATTAATCACAAGTACCTTCCAATCGGTTTCTCCTGGAAGTTTATCATATTTATAATTAGGTTTACAATATATTCTTAAATTATCAGCAGCAATTAAATACCTACATTAAATATATTTGTATCTTAATTATGATGGTTGTAAAATATAAAATATGAGCATTGATGATCAATGATTTTAATAATAAGTAATTTAAAGATAAAATGTTTTATTGCTAAAAGCTCATGTTAGCACTTTACTTAGCATCATATAATATTATTACTTTTTAAACAAAATAAATTATTGATTATTGTTTTTATCAAATAATTAGATATGTCAGAAGTTATCATCTTCCAAAAAAAAGTTTGAAGATGATATACTATTAGAAATGCATAGGCATTTATATTAGATGCATATAAAATATAATTCCATATAAATATATAATAGGTAGGTATAGGAAGACCATAATCCACTTTTAAATAATGTCTATAATATCTCATTGAATATGAATACAGAATAGGTGTTTGAATGTGTAACATAAATTATAATACTTGCCCTCATCAATCAATGCGACAGTTCCCAATACCTTAACTTTAAGTACTTCACCTCGCTTAGCTACCTTAAAAATAATTAATAAACATTTTAAACACAATTTATAAATGTTTAAGAATCAAGTTTGTAGCATACTTTGTACCCAATTTCAAGTACATCTAAGGGATCATTATCCCCCTTGCACCCTGTATGTTCGTCAAGCAATTCAGGGTTTTCCCAAGTTTGAGGCAAGGCACCATAATTCCATATGTAACCTTTGTGTGGGAACACATTTGGTACAAAACGTAATTTCCCTTTTTTCGTATCTTGAATGATAGGGTTTAGGGCAGATTTGGTATTGATCTAAAAAACTTTTATTTAGTAATTAGTTATTTCTTGGTACGAATAATTGAAAATCTAACCTCCATTTTGGCATTTGACCATCTAGGTATTTCAACTATCATATTGAATACTTTGCCTGTATTATCAGCCAGCAATGGAATATCATGGAATGGTGAAACTATTCCTTTTTCATTTTCTGTAATAAAAATTAAACTTATGAAGTTATGGACATTCAATACTTAAGGGAAAACATATTGTATTAAAATAAATTTACCTAAAACTAATACATATTTCATAATATAATTTAACAATATAAATTTATATATTTTGTAATTGATTTGGTAAGTACCCTAAAATTGTTGTGTATTTTTCTTAATAATTACCTATGTTTTAAAAATAAATTAAGAGTATAATTTTTATAATTAAACATTAAGACATGATGGTTTGACGACAGTTGAACAGCCTATTCTTTGTAACGTTTTATAGTGTTTGGGAAATTATAGGTACCTACTTCACAGTGGTTTCCCATTGCCTTTTTATAATTTAAAAGTTTTAATAATATAAAACAATAAATTTTTTTAACAAATGTTTAAGGAATTTGAACTGATTTAGTTAGTACCTACTAAATGTTTTTTCTTAACCTACAAAACCGTGAATAAATTTGAATATAAATCTCTCAATCGTACGTCTCGACTCTCAGGTAGGTATACAATTGTTAATAGTATAAAATATATTTTATTATATTATGCACACGAGATCTTTTACATGGGTACACAATTCAACTTCAGGTGGTAATAAAAAAAAATAAAAATACTTACTAAAAAAAATTATAAATAAATACTTACTGGGGGACAAAGGTCAACATAAAAAAATGACCTTGAATGTTTGAACATTAAAATCAAAAACGTACAAATGTGTTAAACAACTATTAAGGCATACAATAACCCACATCAAATATCGATGGCAAATTCTGGATTTGTACAAGCATTTTGCCTTACAATATAACTTCAAAGTTGACTTACTTATGTACAATTTGTAGTCAATCGTGTTGGGCGAACCTCTCTCTTCGATCTGGTACGTCATTTTGCTGTACTCCTTGTTTGCTGTCTGGCGAATCGCTGTCGAAGTACAAAGTGGACTGATTCTTCGGAAACCGCTATGTTGGCTGAACACGGATTGCCGAATTATCCTTTGGACAGATATTCCGAAAATCATGATTCCCGAATCTTATCAGCGGTGTTCGGCAAGTGGCAACATTTATTCGTGAAAAAACTCGTTGATTTCGACAAGGCGTGTGTCTATTCTCCTTGGTCGCAGTTTTGCCGCCAAAACAATGCGTTGAATATTTTAAATAATTAAGGGGCCTGGTCGCGATTTTTCAAATTTTCCGCAATTCTATAAAATTTGAAAATTAAATTTTATATTTTAGTTGCCACCTCAACTATAAGACTTTTCCACTAATCTACTACCCAATACCTATTTAGGGGGGGGGGGGTTGATAGGGTGTATTATATCGGTCAAAACACAGTTTACAGGAAAAACTCTCACCCCTCGTGGATTGGTCCGATTTTCGTAATTTTTTTTTTGTTAGATAGAGGAATATTTTTTACAGGGCGCATTGGACTTCGATTTTTGATTACGTCGCTAAAAACAAAAATTAATACAAAAACTAAAAAGTTGTAAAAATTGATTAAATTCATACTTGTAACATAAGACTTAGAAAAATAATTTTGAAAATCCAAGTCCAATGCGCCCTGTAAGAAGTCTTCCTCTATCTAACAAAAAAAAAAATTACGGAAATCGGACCAATCTACGAGGCGTGAGAGTTTTTCCTGTAAGGCATGTTTTTGAGCAAAAAAACAGGTCGCGTGCAGGCCCCTTAACAACGAACTATGTGCAATAATATCATTATAAGGGACAGTCATAGAATAACAAAAGTCTCCGTTGTGGACAAGTTTTGGTTATTTTTTGAAATGTCGAATTTGTGACCTAGTTCAGGCCACCTAACCTATAGGGCAAAGTTAAAACACAGATTATATTAAATTGTTAGTTTTATATTATTTGTGGTTAAAGCAGAGGTCACCAAATAATAATTTTTGTAGGACCACATTAGGAATCTGAAAATTTTCCATTAAATACTAAGTACATATTTTCAACAGATAATAGGACAATAGGTATTATTTTAAAATTGGATGTAATGAGAACATTATTTTTGTATTTATTATTTGTTATTGTTTTTAAATTTTAAACATTAAAAACATAATTAATATTACAAACATTTGAAAAATTAATTATAATTACAATAAAATAAAAATTTTTTTAATGAGAAAAATGACAAATCATGCTCTCAACTAACTGTTTTACATTTGAAAAATGTCACCCAATGACCCAATTAAAGTTTAGATAAGATATGCTTTGCGACCAATCGATCAACAGTTGTCGGTGAATCGGTGAAAACCAATAATATTTAACAAAAGTAATAATTTACAACAATAACACATAGAAATATAGAATATAGATTATAGAATGTTGTCGTAATATGTTTTTATTTTTGTCTGCGGCCGGACAAAATTTGTTCGCGGGCCGCCAATCCGCCATTTGGTGACCCAAGGATTAAATACGTTAAAGTAGGACAAGTGATGGTGTCGTCGCTCCCTGCCAGGCTCCGTTCGCGAATACAATAGATTCACATAATGCCTGATTTTAACTATACCGTAAACAGTTAACAATATTGGTTGGATCTCAACAAACGCAGTTTTGACCAAAATCACCGAGAGTGATGCCCTTGCCCCTTTGACCTTTGTTATAAACATCATATTCAAATAAACGTGTTTTCAAAAGCACCGGGAAAAACAACATAAAAATTAAGGAAAAACGGGTACCTATTTTCACAAAACCTATTTTGGTTTTTGGCCTAACTCTAAAACAAATGAACGTACATACATGAAATTTTCCCCGGTTGTTTATATTGGCATTTTCTTTACACGATAAAATTTTCAAAATATTTTGATTTGTTTTGAACTGTTCAGGAATATTTTCAGTTTCCAATTTTATTAGTCTTTTAGATTCTGATAGTGGAATGATGAATTTAATAGAAGGCTCCTACTATATTGTTACAATGACATTTGAAAAATATTAAAAATCCTTAGTCACCTTTTTTTTTTATGAGCATTCAAAGTTCAAATCTTGACAAAATACGGAAATATGAAAATTAGCAAATTATTTTGAGTTAAGAATTCATACAAATTTTCTTTTTGAATCTTAGATTTGAAAATGTAATACGAGATTCCTCATAAGTCTGTCTATCTTTATCAAAAAAACATTTCTACTAGCAAATCATATAAAATTTTTATGAGCGTTTGAAGTTCATATTTTTACAAGATTGGATATTTATCATGTAGTGATTTTGTTATTTTCTTGTAATTCAAAAACGACTAACTGATACATGAAAATTTCACTGAATGTTTATATTTTCATTTTCTATACACCCAACAATTTTGAAAATATTTTGACTCTTTTTGAGCTGTTTACGGAAATTGTTTACTACAATTGACAGTGAACTGTATAGTCACAATTTTACCATACATGCGTGCGCAAAATAAAAAAAATTAAATTGTGGGGAATAGAGTTTAGCTGGTCAGTACTCCTAGTATAGCTGCGTCCTCCCACTCCCACAAGGCCACAAACCCTAATCTTGAAGAAAATTTAAAAGTTCCAAAGTTCCCAAAAACCAAAATTTGAATACACCCATAATTAATGATAAAAACAGGAGCATACTTGATGAGAGTCAACATTAAACAAATATTAACCAAATAGTTCATACTTCATAGTAATGTATAAGTTTCAGAAAAGGTGAAATTATTGTATCATAATATAAAACAATATTTTTTCAGTTATTACTATCTATAGTTTATTTTGTTAGGAAAAATTACAAATAGTTTCCTGCATTTAAACATAATCAGAATACACAAAATAACATAAATTGAATTTTATTATATACAAATATATTGTAATCTATTGATATTTGATCATCTAATCAATTTAAACACAACAAATACAATGCAATAAGTACATCCATTCAAATAAGTAATAACATTCTAACGCATAAAATATTTGTCAACTATTTATGTGTTATAGGCTCCAAATTTCAAGGGAAAGTGTTTTTGTTCAAATAATTAACTATTTACCTATCTTAGTTATTAGCTATTAGTATTTCTGACACTTGAGAGCATTAAGTCTTTCTTTATTTACAAAGTTTAACAATTCGTATTTAGGTTGCTGTGTACAATTGTTAATTCTACACAGAGTGTAGTAATTCTACGCATTATTTTGGGCTAATAAAATGTACATTTAATGATAATAGATTAATGATCTTATAATCTATCCTATCATGGCCATAGACAATAAAAGAATTATTAATTATTTTATTATCTATAATCATAGCCAAAATTCGTAATGAATTGTGACTCTGGTACAATCACAGAATACATTTTTAAAATTTAAAATTTATTCTGTGGTACAAAATGAAATTCAGTTGTACATTTTTAAGATAATAAGTCAATATACAAAATATATATCCAAATACAATAAAATAAAAATAAATGTTTTTAACAACTTATAAAGTACCACTGAATGTAGATTGAAAGTCGGGTACATTGATTGATCATATTAATTAGGATAATAAAAGTAAAACACATGTTTAGAAGTAGTAACATTGAAAGATATTTTTCTAATAAGTAAAAACCAGCCTCTAGCCCATATAGAGAATACTCCAAGTATATCTCAGACTATAACCCTTACATAATTTCCCTAAACCGGTATACCTCATACTCAATCTCTAAACATGTGGATGGTGGTAACTTTTTGTATTTGTTGAAGTCTCACTGGTACTTGTTGCTGAAGGTGCTGAATCCTCATTAGAAGGTATATCACTGCTGGATTTACGTTGTTCAGACCACATTTCAGCATACAGGCCGTTTCTTATTATGAGATCATCATGCCTACATGACATTACATTTAAAATTTCAATAGATATAATGTCAACAGTTCAATTTGAAAAAAGTAAACAGAAAATTAAAAAAAAAGAAAAATGATAACACCAAAAGGACACGTCATTTTGTTTACCTTCCTCTCTCATATATTTGTCCGTCTTTTAGAACTAGTATTTCGTCAGCATGTATAACAGTTGACAGCCTATGTGCAACAATTATAGTGGTGCGATTGGCACAGACTTGATCCAACGCCGCCTTGAATGTTTTTAAAATTATTAACACCTAGATACTCAAAAACATTATATTCAGAAAAGGTTAGTATTTACTTGAATCTGTCTTTCTGTTTTAGTATCTAATGCACTTGTGGCTTCGTCCAGCAATACAATGGCAGGTGCCTTAAGTAACGTTCTGGCAATAGCAACTCTTTGTTTTTCTCCTCCACTAAGTTTCAATCCTCTTTCACCAACCTAAAAAATTATAAAGAATATGATTGATATTTAAACAGAACTTGATTATAAGTTAAACAAACAAAACACACTTGTGTATTGTATTGCTCTGGGAATTTCATAATTCTGTCATGTATTTCGGCTGCCATTGCAGAATTCATTATTTCTGAGTCATTAGAATCAACTTTTCCATAATTGATGTTAAATCTAATAAATAATTTTAGTTACATTTTTGTATTTATTACAAGTTATTTTTATTCATACTTAATGCTGTTGTTAAACAAAACAGTGTCTTGCGGAACAACACCGATAGCTTTTCTGAGTGAATTTTGTGTGACCAGTTGTATATTCTGGTCATCGATAATGATAGTTCCTGAATCTACATCGAAAAACCTAAACAACAGTCTCACAATAGTTGATTTTCCGCTACCTGATGGACCAACCAATGCCAATGTCTTGCCCGGTTCAACCACAAACGAAATATTTTGTAAGACTATTCTTTCAGGTTGATAAGAAAATGTTACATTGCGGAATTCCACTTGTCCATTTTTAAGCACCAAGTCTTTAGCATCAGGAACATCACTAACATCTGGTGTTATATTCATCAAATCAAACATATTTTCCATGTCAATAAAGTTCTTCTGAATAGCTCTATTTAAAATGATTTAATATCTTTTATTATACACATTATTTTAATATTTTAGCTGACATTAAGAAGATGTCACACCCACATGTTTTGTATCAGTCCTATCAGTACAACAGCAAATTTGAGTTAGTAGATCCAATTTTTTGTCAACTTAAATATTACAATGAATTAACCTGATACCAAACTTGAAGGTAAGAAACATTATTTACGATTGTACGTTGATTTCTTTACAATATTTTAATTTTCAAGCAAGTGAGGAGCATGTAAAATTAAAAAATTCAAATATTGTAAAAAGAAACAAACACAGATAATGTTTCTTACTTTCAAGTTTGATAATATGTTCACTTATTGTAATATTAAAGTTAACACAAAATTAGTTCTGCTGAACTCAAATTAGCTGTTGTACGTTTGTAGGACTGAGACAAAACATATGGGTGAGATGTCACCTTAATACCATATTTGTTTAATACCTGTAAAATGTCCCAAAATAGTTTAGTGGTCCATACAATTGAATGATGTACACAGTGAATAGAACATAATCACCTACTGTTAACTCTTTAAGATCAACAACAAAATGAACACTGAGCAATGATCCAGCTAACAATCCTATACATACAATCAAATTTTGAACGGTGTTGAGAATAGCCAATGATACTTGCGTTTTAAACTCTTCGTGCTAAAAAAAATAAATAAATATGCGTATATATTAATTAAACTTAAGGTTTTTTTAAAAAAAATTCCAATAATTTTACTTGATATTCCATTATTGCATCTTTATAGGCTTTAACTTCATATTCTTCAGCACCATAGTACTTAACTGTTTCAAAATTCAACATAGAATCAACACTACGAGCTTCCATATTGTTATCTGCTATATTCATCCGACGTTGAAATTTTGTTCTCCATTCTGTTATGATGATTGTCAAAGCTAAACATTTTAACCCCCCAAAAAAAAAAAAAATAATGATGATTCATTATCAAATACAGTATTATATTTTTATTATATTGTTATTACTTATGGAAGAACTAATGATATAAGCTCAATATAAACATTAGTTTTAATTCACTTTAAGCATTATGAATAATTATTAATTACTTTAGACCTTATACTATAGTAAATTCAGAAAAATTAGAACTTCACAACTAGCAATGAAACAGGGATTTTATATTTATGAGCGTTCAATCTTTTACATAAATTAACTTTTTTTGTTTTCTCTGACGCATTTAGAGACTACTAGGAATTTATCACTTTTTACCCTTAAAGTGCCCAACTAGACTCACCAGATTAGAAGCTAAAGTAAAAATTCAGAGTATTTTTACTGCTGGTGAATTTTCTTACAACCGTTTAAAGTTAGAAAAATACTCAAGAAAATTGCCAAACTATGACTTACTCTCTATGGATAATCGATTTTTGTCTGTTACAATTTTATCTTAAAAAGAGCTTGGGAACCTTTTTTATTGAACTTAATAAATAAATATAATATTTTTTATACACTATTCAATTATTATAAAAATTGTTTATTAATAAAACACTAATGAAAGTTAAAACAGTAGTTTAACTGAACATTTTCTATAATCATACAATATTATTAGTTGTTACAGCATTTTGAAATTTGTACGAAGTAGGTAAGTTCAAAATTCTTAAGGATTTCAAAATATGAATTCTCTAGGAATTCTTAAGGAAGTCTTTAAACTGTAATACTGGTTTGTAATATGTGAATGACTCTTGGGAATATATTATTTTTAACACAAACCAGTTAATAAGAATATGACATTGATTCACCACCAAGAACATGACAATTGTGGCTTTAATTTTGCTGGGTTAAAAATATAATTTCTAAGATTATGAAATTTTAAGCTTACTAAATTATTTATTGAGTAATGTTAGGATTTAAGATTCTAATAAATGTATTGATTTTACAATGATGTGTTTTTTCTATTTATTTCTTTTTTAATGTCTGAAAACAATTTTTATTTTGGAAAAAATACTCAGATAATCAACTAATTTTTTTAAAATAATTAGAATGTTATTAAATTTATTCTAATACATTAATAACTAATTTTTATTTGTTGTTTAATTTTATAATTGAACTTTGAAAATTGGCCATTTAGTGTTCTACCTTGTATGATGATGAACTAATTAATTAAAAAAATATGTATTTAATTAATGTGATATAATGGGAAAAAATTGACCAATGAAGCAAAAAAGCTTAGGTAGAATGGTTAATGATTATATTTAATACTATAGAAAAAAATATTTATTTGCAGCTGTTATATGACAACATTATATTTTGAGTTAGAAATTCATGAAAAATTTTCTTTTTAAATCTAGGATTTGAAATGTAATACAAGATTCCTCATAAGTTCGTCTACCTTTATCAAAAAAAAAATGTCTACAAGAAAGTCAATTAAATTTTTATGAGCGTTTGAAATTCACTTGATTTCTCATGTAACAATTTTCTTATTTTATTTTAATTAAAAAACGAATGACTGTAGACAACTTGAAAATTTCACTGAATGTTTATAATAGCATTTTCTATACAAGATAAAATTTTGAAAATAATTTGACTCTTTTTGAGCCGTTTACAGACATAGTCAGTTTTCAATTTATTTAGTTTTTCTTTCTATAAATAACATTTTATTTGTTGGGTAAAAAAGCGTGAAAATTTAATGCAAGGCTCCTGATAAATTGTTACAATAGCAGTTGAAAAATATTAAAAATACATAGGCTCAATTTTTTTTTATGAGCATTTAAAGTTCGAATTTTGACAAAATTTATCAAATTTAAAATGAAATAAATAATATTGTAGCTAAAAATTTATAAAATGTTCAACTTTTATAGCTGAGGATTGAAACTTTAAAATAAGGATCCACGTAATTAGGGTATAATATGTAAATTACTTTATTCACAATAATATCATAAATTAATATACTTAGTAATATCATAGGCTGACTGACCGTTTTTGCTCAGAATCGTTTTTCTTATACAATGTTATTATATCATTGAATTCAAATTTAACTCCATCAATTACAATGACCCACTTGTAACCTACTGTAGAGTAGAGCAACATCCACTTACCTACCTTTTTTTTTTTATCTCGTTTTAACTAAATAAATAATAACTACATACTAATAAATTCACAAAAAGTACTTATAAGTTACAACTATATTTAATCATTTGTCATACATTTATACTTAATAGTCTGGTGCTCATTAAAATGTATGTAATTATAGAGAATTTTTTTCTCAGTATCCTTAAATATAATTGATATTATTGAAAGCAAAATAATTTTTACCGATATACAAAACCATTGTAATGAAAACCACAGTTCCCATCATCCAATTGAAATATGATAGGAAAAATATAACTGCTACAATGATATCAATTATGGTAGGTCCAATACTAAAAAGTAAAAATGACAGCAAACTGTTGGTCGAGTCTGTTCCACGGTCCATAATTCTTAAAACTTCACCAGTTTTACGGCTCAAATGCCATTTCAAACTTAAATTATGTAAATGACGGAATAGTGATACCTAAGTTTAAATATTTTAATAGGTACAGTTAATATATTTATACCTTATATAGAATTAATGAAAACTCACTTCGACTTCACGTTTAGTATATTGTTGTACTCTAATCCATAGGTAACTTCTTAAGTTATTCAAGAAACCCATTCCAAGACCTCCTTGTAAAAACTTGATACCAATATAGGTAAAAATTAAATCCCAACGAAAAACAAGAGGAATAGCAGTTAAGCTGTCGACTAAGAATAAAATCAATTATTAGTTTATGCTATTTATAACTATTAAAGGATCATCAAAAAATTAAATAAAAAATTAAATACCAATTTTTGCACTATAAAGTGGAACATATACATTGGCTACTCTTCCAGCAATTACCAAAATAATACAAGCAACTACTCTTAGTTGTAAAGCCACGCTCTTTTTTGGCCATACGAACGGTGCTATCATTTTGACTTTTCGAATCATATTCTTCCATGTTGAGATTTCTTCCACTCGATCAGACTAAAAAATTATAACCGTTCAATATTATTTCTATATAAATATAAGATAATGACAATAAAAATACAATAACCAAAAAAGGTCTTGAATGATACATTTTTAATTCACATTTAAATAATACAAGTCTATAAAAAAAAATTAGCAAAAATAAAAATATATCTAAGTATTTATAAACAGTACATACAAGTATTGCAGTACAAATGAAATTGAAGTAGGTATAATTATAATTTACCTATGACATATTTTGTTTTTATATGCCATAGACACTTCACATAGATAACACATAATAACCAACATTGAAAAACTAACTTTAAACCATATTACCTTTGTATTTATAATAATTTATTATTATTATTATTATTACGAAAAGAATATTTAGTGGATGGGAGATTGGAGACTACCAAAACTACAATTTTACAAATCAGGATCCATGAAAATACAAGTGACAATGGGGTTGTCTGGCATTATTTTTAAATCTGGTTATATTTGGAAATATAGCATCTAGGATTTTCCATTGTGCTAATGCTACCCATTGGTAGGCAAAAAAAACATCTTGGCTTAAATTTTACTACAATAAAAGTAGACGAATGTTAAATTATCTATGTATAAGATTTGTTTACAAAAATCAATCATAATGTTATCTTATACACAAATTGAACAATACACTATTTTGAAAAAAATAAACTATTTGCCATTATAAGTTTTAAATTATTAACATATTTTTTTAAAATTATAAATTATAATAAGTATCATTAAATATATAATTAAATTAGATATTAAAAACTTACATCTAAAAACAAATCTGTTGAGTTGTGTAGGCTAAAGTAATCTCTTGCAGTCATTATTCCAGGTGCTTTTACACCTAAGATCAATAACAAGAAGCTTAAAATATAATTTCCAACGAATAAACCGAATTCAATTTGACCATTTAAACTGTAAATAAATTATTAATAATAGGTATAAGAATATAATTTAATAAAAATCGACAGACAAAATTATTAACTGACTTATTTATTTTAGGCCACCAATCATCCCTCTTTATGGTAATGAATGCCACATTTTCAGCAAGGAATACCAATACCCAGAAAATTAGCAAGACTAGACCATGTCCACGGGCTGGCATTGATGGTAAGAGACTTTTTCTTTCCATTAGTATGAGTTTTGCCGATAATGGAAATACAAAAACCATAACAAGCATATATACTGCCTAAAAAATTAATAATATATTATAACATGTAGCAAAGTTAAATCAGGTGAGTTTCACATTCAATTTCTTAATATGTACTTACTTGATAACCGTACACAACACCATGTTGAATAATGTGAATGTCGAGGAAAAACTTAGCCACTGCCAATAGGGGAAGTAGAAATGTAATGATCATCTGAACATAGTATAGCCTGGATTGGGGAATTGCAGCCTGTGATAGAGGCGTGCTGTATTTTCTGTACATCGAGCATTGTGCTGTGCCGAATAGTATCATGTACGCAGCTAATGAACCAGCAACTGTGGTTTCCACAAAACATTCTGATGTCTTGTTGACCCATAGATCAATCGATGAACCGTTTGGACAAAACATTTTCAACCAACTTGTATCCATAAATTATGATAAAAGTACAATTAGACATGAGTAACTATAAAACAGTTTACATTAAAGGTTTACATAATATTGCCACATTGATAACATTTGTATAAATATAACGTGAAAGTCAAATATAAGTTGTTATATAAACATCTATAAAAAGTATTTGATTAATTAGAATTGGAAAACATAAAAAATCAGGTTAAAAATAAAAAAATTTCATGCACTGAAGAATAAAATTTATAATTATTTATAGCATATTGTCGTCCCAAACATAAAAATAATAACGAAGGGAATTTGATTTATTATTACAAATAATTATATAGGTAAATTAAACCGACATCCAAGTTTTCAACCAGGATCGGTATTGGAATTGTATGAAAGATCTGATACAAATTTGATAAATAAAAAAAAAATTCACTAAGATGAAACTTACTATATATATTCAAATTTGATGATGTTTAATCGGTACCTACCTACTTAAAACTAATAACTAAAAAAATATTAAGTACATTTTTTTTTTGTTTTATGAATCATCATTATTTATTATCATTTATCATACTACCGTTATCATTATTTATTATCATAATATAACATCATTATCATTATTATTGTTATTCAAATTTAAAAGCACTGTGACCATAGAACTGATTTAGGTTTTAAATTGCGACGACGGTAAATCTATTTACAGCTAAATGTGATTAAAAGTCACTATGACACTACAAACAGAATCAAGGTGGATTATATTGCAAGGTACCTAGTTTTAATAATACATATTTTATACCTACATATAACATTATAAATTATAATATAGATACATTATACATAGGTATACATGTATAATATGTTATTAATGTATTATTATATTACCTTGACACATTGAAATTAAACTGTTTATTGTTACAGTTATATTGTTATCTATCTCTAGTATCTCAATGTTATAAAATATAAGCAAAAGTGAATTTTAGACCTAGGATATAGAAATGGACAGGATTGGATCAATGAAATTGTGGGTCTTGAAACGGGGATTAAGATTAGTAGCTATTGAAAAAATGTCTAAATATTTAACTTTACCGGGTTATTAAATTTTGAGTTAAGCTAGACTTAAAATTTGAATTTTAAATCGTCCAAATTGAACAAAAATTCAATAATAAAGTCGGCCTAATTTAAATCACCCATGACTAGAGTGAAGAGGTGTGTCCATAAGGGAAGTTAGGGGTTCAACCGACCTCCCTAGGTAGACGAATGGTGATTAATTTATAGGAAAAGTAAGTCAGATGATTATTGATTTAACTTTGGATTTAGGATTGAAAAAAAATACTTATATAGAGCGAAGAGCCCGCTATACCGCCCAGCACCTCTAAACTGTATAATTAAATGAATTATTGCAGACTGTATTTATATATTATAACGGGGCTAACACATTAAATTAAAACTAAATAGCCTATTTTTCCGTTTTGCATAGGTATAACCATATAGGTACAGTCACTAAACATAAGTAAAATTATAAGTGAGCTAAATAAAATATGGTTTCTAATTCCCTATGATTTAGTGACCTGTGATTGGTCTATTACATTTTAGTGAACCAGCTAATTGATAAATGTTTTATGCAACTCAGAATATATATTATAGATAGGTAGGTACCTAGTACATTATTAATATTAAAATTTAAAGCAGTCAACTGATCTTGTATTAATTAAACTAAATAGGTAGTTGATTTTTAAGAAACATAGCTGTAATTTTTGAGACCTATATGGCATATTTTAAAGGTGGACGGTAGTTACTAGATTCTAGAATATAAGTAGATTGTTGATACTCATTTACGCTAAACAACTCTTGTTATACCATTTTCTATATTAATATAATAAATATTGAACCATTTCTTACTGGCAGTGCTGTACTAGTATTTTTCGTAAAAATTAATAATATTAATTTATTTTGGATATATTTTAAAAATAAAATAAATATTCTGAAATATTCAAAACATTAATTTTTTACTCAACTTTCCTCATAATTTTTTTTACTTATATTACAATAAACATTGATTGCTTTGATGATTGTATAGCATAACGCAGTAATATTTTAACATTAAAAAATAACATAATGTCTTATCTACTATCTTTTTCGATACCTACCTATTGGATTGAGAACTTTTTCTTATTATTTTAGATTCTGAGTGGAACGATGAATGTATTGATTTTACAATGATGTGTGTTTATTTATTTTTTTTTTTATTTTTTTTGTATCTGTGTACACGATAAGTAGTCGAAATAATGCTTCGATTTTCAATTCAGTATCTTGTTCGATTGGAAAGTGAATATCGTTGGTGCATTGGGGAGGTCAAAATTTAAAATTCCCAGTACTTTTCAAAAGCGCCAAGAAAAACAAAGAAAAATTAAGGAAAAACGGGAATTTTTACGCAAAATCGATTTTTCAGAAAATTGAATTTGGTTTTTGGTGTAACTTTAAAACAAATGACCTTAGGTACATGCAATTTTCACTGGTTGTTTATTTTTGCATCTTCTATACACGATAACATTTTCAAAATATTTTGATTTATTTTGAACAGTTTAGGGACATTTTCATTTTTCGTTTTTTTTTCCTTTTTTTTTTCTAGAAATATCAATAAAATTTTATTTGTTGGTTGCGAAAGCTTGAAAATTTAATAGAAGGCTCCTAGTATATTGTTTCAAAGGCAGATGAAAAATATTAAAAATCCTTAGTCACAATTTTTTTTATAAGCATTTAAAGTTCAAAAATTGACAAAATATGTAAAAATCACGAAAATTATCAAATTATTTTGAGTTAAGAATTCGTAAAAATTATTTTTTTTCAAATCTAAGATTTGAAAATTTAATACAAGATTACTCATAACTCATAAGTTTGTCTACCTTTATCAATAAAAAAATCTCTACCGGAAAGTCAAATTAAATTTTTATGAGCATTTGAAATTCAAATGTTTACAACATTGGATATTCACTCGATTTCTCATGTGGCAATTTCCTTTTTTTGTTGTAATTAAAAAACGAATTACTGTAGATACATGAAAATTTCACTGAATGTTTATATTAGCATTTCCTATACACCATACAATTTTGAAAATATTTTGACTCTTTTTGAGCCGTTTAAGGACATTTTCAGTTTTCAATTTTTTTAGTTTTTTTTTTCTATAAATATCAATAAAGTTTTATCTGTTGGGCCAAAAAGTGTAAACATTTAATACAAGGCTCCTGATATATTGTTACAATATCAGTTGAAAAATATTAAAAATACATAGGCACAATTTTTTTTTATATGCATTTTAACATCGAATTTTGACAGAATTTTTCAAAATCTCGAAAATTATTAATCATCGTAATTAATAAATTATAAAATGTTCAGTTTTTATAGCTAAGGATTGAAAATTTAAAACAAGATTCTACGTAAGTAGTTAATTCTCTTACCGAAAAATCTAAAAAATATACAATCACAGTAATTTTTTACAGACATTTTAAATTCAAATTTGGACGAAATTACATATTAAAAAACCAAAATAACTATTTTAGTTATTTTGTTGTGATTGAATAATATTATTCGTGGATACTTGAAACTTCTAAAGTGTACTATTATATTATATCTATGATAGTATCACGGTTTTTGTTGATGTATAACGCGTTATAAATACCTAATGGATATTTTGATATGATTAATTTTGGAATTTATTATAGGTACCTACCTATTATAGGTCAAATTTTGGTTTAGTACCATAGATATGTATAATGTATATAATATGTCTTATACCTAGACTGACATACTGTCTCCTCTCAGAATCGTTTTTCTTATACAATGATATTATATCGTTGAATTCAAATTTAATATCATCCATTATACAGTGACCCACTTGTAACCTACTGTACAGCAGAGCGACACCCACTTGCCCACCTTTTTATATTTGTAAAACAAACTTATTGCGTTCTTATTTTTAACTAAACGTAGGTATACCTATCGGCTATCTGGCTATCTACCTATATATAATATCCATGATAAAACTTTAAACGTTGGGAGTAGAAAGCATTAGGTACTTATTCCAATACGAAAAGAGTACAAAAAGAATACAAAAATAGATAGGTAGTAGGTATTTATTATTTTATTATATTTTCTGATCGTATTATTTTAGTACATAATATTATATTTTCGTTTATTATAAACTTTAGTCAGTTAGAATGATATAGGTCATAGATCCTTTACCTTTTCTGGGTCATGAACACCTTTCAAGTATAAAGTATAAAGTATAAAGTATAACCACGGAACCCCCCCCCCTCCCAAAAGAAACCCGTACAAATTTTTATTTTTATTATTTTAATACTAAACACTAATTACTTACTAAGACTAAGTTAATACATATTGTTGTGAATAATCAAGTTTAGGATAGGCGTAGGTATACGAGTTTAAGTGTGAAATTTGCGTCATACCTATGGTTTGGCCAGTGGTTTTCTTTCGAGTGCAGGCGAAATATGCGGTTGTACGTCATCGCCTATCGGAAACCCCAAAATATGTACGACAGCTCGAATTTACGAAAACAATAAAATATATATGTACCATTCAATAAAGTTCACAATATAAATATTCAGTTTCTAATTTGTTCAGTTTCTAAATTTGTTAATTTTTTGGATTACTTAGAAAAAATACTCCCAGACACCACAATGCCTCTGTGGATCCCTGAGTTAATCACCTACAGACTCCCTAGGGATCCATGGACGATGGACCCCCGGTTAAGAACCCCCGATATAGGCACTATGTCAACACAAACAACGTGTTAGTATAGTATTAGAATAGGTAATATATTGTTCAAATAATATTATTTTCTCATAATATCTGCACTAACGCCGGAATGTATTTTACCCCTGGTAGTACAATATATTGACAAGCGAGAGAGGAGACTGGACATTCTTTTATATTAACTACTCGGTTTAATATATTATACCTACTAGGTATATAACAATTATTACTTAATTAGT